TAAACCCGATTAGAGCTCTGAATAGACTATTTTTGAAATAGTCTATTCTCGAGGGATGAGGAAATTGGTGTATCAAAGCACGTGGCGTGATTTGGAGATCACCAACCACCCATTAGACCGCCTGCTAAGTACGTGTGCAAGCAATTTATCAATGCCCGTTCGAAACTCGCGAAAAAAAGTCGAGGCTTTGCAGGGTTACCCTAAGGCTCTTGATTCCAAAGGCGCAATACGTTGATAAAACAAAATGGAGATAAATAATAACACCACGAATGTCGTCAGCTTCCGGCCAAAGTATCACAAGCGCCATGCGATGTTTCAAAATTTCCGCCACCATTTTAATTGTTGACGGATAAATCGTTGGTTGATCTGTTTGAAAATTTTACTGAATTTTATCGACAGCACAAAGAAAATTCAGTGAAATTTTCGAACAGCTTCGTTGAGCAATTTTTCTGTAAAAAAATAGAATGGCGTCGAAAATTTTGAAACGTCACCGAAAAAAAATGTGGTAGATTTGACCATACTCTGACGCAGGGATACGAGTATGCCAAGAAACACCAGACTCTACGTAACTATATTATGCTAAGTATCACCATAGTTTTGTCGAATCCTACTATAATTATGGTTATTTCCACTAAATAGTATTACTGTGTAAGGAATCAAGTCGAATTATAGTAGATGTTACCATACTTTTTTTTTTCAGGTGTGGCGCTTGTGATACAAGGCCGGAAGGTGAGGATGTCAGGAAAGGAAACATCAAAAGACGGCTCCGTGGGTTCCCTAATTAACTTCCATTCAACTAAGATTCCGCTTTAAACCCGCAGATTCTTTGAGTAAAATGAAACAGTCGTTATTAGATTAGTTGTAAGTTTATGCTCCCTGGAAGCGAGTCAAAGTACAAGAGGCATGTGGTGAGGCGAGGTGCATTCGTCACCCCGCAACCGGGGCGCCTGGCAACAACACCCACCACCCACCCCCCACCCCATCCACCTCTCTCTTTCTCCTCTATTTTCTTACCCTCTTCCTGCGAGGGAAGTTACGAGAGCCTTCGTTATTGAGAACTTTGCTACCTACACTACTCATACACGACCTATTATCGGCATCGTCTCCGAACTTAAAATACTTTGAAATGACATAGTGCAAGGGCCTCTGAACAGGGTATGGATTGGACGTATTTATGCCAATATAAACTTTGTTGTGCGCAACCCCTATGCACAAAGTTCTAACAACATCACTCATATTTTTGAAACAACACAGTGCAATGGCCTCTGAACAAGGTACACTGGAAAAAAAAAACACATTGGATCTAGAGTCCAGACTCTTAAAACATCGACAAGAAAAAGTACTCGCTTGATTCAGAATCTAGCTTAAATCAAGAACCAAGCCTCTTAATTTAAGCGGATTTCGTTTTGATTCAAGCAAAAATCCGATAGAATCAAGAGTATTTTTTATTGTAAATGTTTTCAAGAGTCTGGACTCCAGATCCAAATGTGTTTTTTTTCCAGTGCATGGATTGGACGTATTTATGCCAAAATAAACTTTGCTGTACGCAAACTCTATGCACATAGTTCCAGCAACATCACTTATATCTTTGAAATAACGCAGTGCAATGGCCTCTGAACAAGGCATGGATTGGACGTATTTATGCCAAAATAAACTTTGTTGTACGCAAACCCTATGCACATAGTTCGAGCAACATCACTATTGTACTCGTATGCTGTTACAACGAGTTAATTTCCAGACTTTCCGTTGTATGATCCGTTTTCCTCGAAAAATGTCGAAGAGAAATTATGTTCTAAAGTGATTCAATTGGACGCATTTATGCCAAAATAAACTATTATGAAAATAAAGACAAGTTCAGCCTTACCTGGCAAGATAACTTTTGCAAGGGTATTTTTGCAAGCAAGTACAAACTTGTCTTTATTTTCATAATTTATCGCACCTTGCTATTTGCAATCATGTTCAAAATAAACTATGTTGTACGCAAACCCTATGCACACAGTTCTTTTTAGTATAAATACGTCCAATTAAATCACTTCAGAACATAATTTCTCTAGAAATACGAGAAAAACGGATCACACAACGGAAAGTCTGGAAATTAACTCGTTGTAACAACATACTAGTATGATTGTTTACAATCGAACCTCTTAGATCGAAAATTACCCAACTCGGGTTTTTTATGATGTTCAATTATTTGAGTAGAAATGCCTTTTTTGGCAGTTATACAGTTTTTATCGTCTCCCGAAATTTTTTATTTCGAGATGGGTCGCTTTCGAACTGAGAATTTCAATTAACTTCGGTTAAATTACACAAGTACCTAAACACGTCACTTGTACAATCTGAATTTTATGGCTATGCAATTTGAGCGATTTGGAGGCCGAAACAGTCGTATCATGAACAGCACAAACTCAAATTCGATCTTAAGTAAGCGCGATGTATCATAACAACACATTCAGGGATACCTTCATTTCGCAATGGAACTTTAACTGCTCGAAAGTCAGACTGACGCATCCTGAACCACCCATTGCCCGTTTTGTAGTGATAATTGGGCTTCATTTTGCGGTTGAGAGCTACAATTTCGGGCTCATTCGTAAAAAAACTTATGTACATGGGAAAACTAATGCTGCATACGTTGTTTCTAAACTGAGCCAGAAATTATAGTTCCAAATGTCAAAATTTAGTCCAATTATTATTCAGTGCCTGTTCTGTCTACCTGTCGTTATTGCAATGATAAGATTAAGGGGGAATTAATAAAGAGAAGGGACCTAAGTCAGATCGCTTTTCTTCCTTCATTTTGGCAGGCACGGTAAACGTATACATGTACTCAATTTCTCTATTCTGCTTTTTGAACACATTAAGGGGACAATAGAAATTGTTTGAAAAAAAGAGATGCGATCCCTGTCTTACTTTCCTCTATTTACGAGCTTCAGAGGGTCCGAAACATGGAGAAACTTTTTGGAAATGCATGTCACGGACTTGTAGAACTTTCAACGGCTACGACTGTCGACCCTCCTCGTAATTTTAAAACTGGGTTTCCTTACTATTTTCGCAGTCGAAGTTTCCGGCTTGGGACGGTCACGTTGAGTCTAGTACCACCGAGATCTCCTTCTCATTCTCTCAGCAAAGAAGTCACTCGTCAAAATATCGTATAAAACATTGGCTATACTCTGAATCAGAATGCTATACTAACAGGATTACGTAAACTCAGCGAGACAGCTTGAGATTAGCTCTACCTAAATATATCAAAATCTTGATTTTTTCAGGATGTCAAACAGGGTGTCTAGTTTTTTTTCATTTTGGGAAATCCTGATTTTTGACTGCTAAATCCTGATTTAATAATTTTTCCGAATCCTGATCCAATCCTGATTTTTGCGGAGAGAAATTAACGGACGGATAACGGAAAATAAGCGGACGGCCGACTTTTCTCAAATCCTGGTTTTACGACAGATTTTTCCTCAAATCCTGATGAAATCGTTATTAAATCTTCATTGACCTCAAATCCTGATATAGAATCGGGAGAATCCTGATGCTAAGCACCCTGTCAAAAAACATGTACAAATGAAAAATAATCTAATGGCTAGGGAGTGTCAGCTCCTAATAACACACTTTTTCAAGAAAGAGTCCTTTCGTTTGAACGTCAAAATCCATTCTCAAGTGGATAAGATAAGAAACCGACTTAGATTATTTCTTGGTATTTTAACTAATTTTCCTAAATCATTTGAACAGAGTGTCTAGTTTGTTTTCAGTTTGGGAAATCCTGGTAAAATCCTGATTTTGGACTGCAAAATCCTGATTTTATAATTTTTCCAAATCCTTATTTTTTAGGGAGAAACATTAAAATTTCTGCATTCACAAAAATAGCTCGATAAAAAAATCCGATAGAACGGCCGACTTTTCTTGAATCCTGATTTTACGACTGATTTTTCCTCAAATCCTGATAGAATCGGGAAAATCCTGATGCTAGACAACCTGTTTGAAGAATATTCTGGGACCATTCCGAGCAATGTCGATTGCATTTTCTTCAAAAAAATAAAAAAGTAAAACGCTAGCGGAGATTTGGAGATGTCGCAATAAAGATATGTGTTATGTGGCTCTCTTTATCTACACGATTTTGTGTACCTGTTTATAAAATGAAGACGGATAACGCCGGGCTCCACGACAAGACGTGGTTTGCCGTTTGCTCCGGGCGAACAAAAGAGCCTTCAGTTCAACGGGTAGGCAATATCCCAAACATCGAGATAGCTGCATTTCCACAGACTGACTAGATTGTCTCAGTCCTGCGAACTTGCGACTGTCTTATTTCTCGCAAGATATGCCTCTTATTTCAATACGGTTGGCAACGTTTCCAAATTAGTGGATGCGATATTTTGACTTGGAGCTAAGACGAGAAAGAGAAAATAACGCTTTAAAGTTTAAAGATCTCTCATATCAAAATACTCTTTAGATGCTCATACATACTCTTACACGAAGTTAATTCCCTTTATCCTCATGTCCGTCGTGCAACACAAAAACGCCGTAAACGCCATTTTAAATTTTTTTGGAAACAACGTATCAGCGCAGAAAAACTTGTGTACCTTAGGACAATGTTTTTACAGAAATCTTACGCAAATACTATCAAGAACTAAACCTAAAAATTTGAGGTGCATTGGTAAAACAGTTTTTAAACTCTGTATTTGAAGGGAAAGACATTTTTCTGCCCCTCCTTTACATTGTAAGATCTTTATTTCCATTTCGAAATGACCACTGCTTTCTTAGACCGCGTCACACCGCATTACTCCATAACCTATTTCCAACACATCGATGAAGCATGAGGAGTGATAACAATGTTGTCCAAAGGTTCTTGGACGTTCCGGCATCGTCAGATTTTATGGCTTCCAGTAGAAAAACTATCGAAGCAAGAAAGGCACTTTTGAACGTACGTGTAATACGTTTAAATGAATAATATTTATGGAATAAAGGGAGTGAATTAAAATGATCCACTAGACAAACGAAATTATTCTTACCTGGAGAATTATGAAACCAAGATCCCAAGAGCTTCACACACTGGCCAGTTCGTTACTAAATTCATATCGGTACTCGTAAAAAAACGCGCATTTAAATAAATTGACTAAAATCGATATTTTATCACACTTATAGGGACATCGCTGAAAATCGAAGATCGAAGAGTAAATACACAAGTTACAGCGTAAGCATGGCCGATATGTTATCAGTCACGTTACGACCGTAAGGGTATGTTAAATAAAATCAAGCAGGGGAGAGTAAAAACCGGGAGTAATAAAATGAAAACAAAAAAACTGATAAGGTCAAAAGTAAATTGGAAAGAAGGAAAAATACACGCAAGGGTAAAAAAAGAAAATAATACGAAGAGCTCAGTGACGTTTCCTGACGGAAAATGTAGAGGCTGCAGAATTGATACGAGATAATTTACTATTTTTCCTTCAACTTTTGAGGTGGGCAAGAAAATATCATCCGTGCAGCAATATTTGCTCCTTTGAGGATTTGCGTCTTGTGTCGTTTTTATAAAACTTGCCTCGCAGGTAACGGTGTTAAACTCAACCTGAAGATTTTGAATCTGCCTCTGTTTTTTTTATTCTAATCTCGCTGATTCATAACAATCTTAAAATGATGAAAGATTGACTTCAAATTGAAGATCCGTTTCGGAAAACAGTAATTTTCGAACAGACAAGTAAATGCAGAAAACACCACTGGAGCACTGTGAAGTGGGAGAAATACACTGTAAAAGTAAAAACAGAGGACACCGATGTGTTCAATAAGACCTTTTGTTCTTAGATACAATTGGTGTGTTATCAGCAACGCACCATTGCGGTCGAGATCAGGAGTCGTGACTGAAAAGGCCGAATGAACTAACACACAATGACGTAACTAAACACACAGGTGCGTTAACACACAATTTGTATCATAGAGCAAAAGGTTCAACTAAACACAGTGGTGTGTTAAGAGGATATTTTTAAAACAGTGCGGGTAGGGGTAGGGGTTGGTTTTGGGGGAGTTTTGAGGTTGACTCACGAAACCGATGAAACAACAATTCCGCACCTCGCGACATTCATTTGAAACGGGGGGATCACTGGTTATATCACCTCAACTAACAACAACGCGGCAACAAAAACAAGGGAAAAACAAAGGGGGGGCTCGAAAAAAGAACGACGAGGGAACAAGCGAGTGAGTCCAAAATCCAGAGGGAAGGAAGCGAAATCTGCAAAAAATAAATATAACTCTGGGGCTTCTCTACCGTCAACTGAGCCGAACGGCTTGCCTACCCCTGCAGGAGGGCTCGAGCGCCTGCGCCGTGCTCGGCCGCCGATCGACCGCCCGCAACACAGCCACTCGAGAGTTCCCGGCGCGAGCCGCCAGGGCGCGCCACCTCCAGCGCGCGCCGCGAAAAACAAACGTTATTATCAATTCATGCCGGCCCGGGCGCCGCGCGCCGAGCCCCAGGAGCCTAAATTTTTTATAAATTTTCAATTTTTTTTCTCCCTCGCTCGCTGCCCGCCCGTCTTTTCCCGCTCGGGCCGACGGCGTAATTGTCTTTTACTCGATTTGGTCCACGGTTTGGGAGTTGGTTCCCGGCGTGGAAAAACCTCGCGCCGGCTCCGCGGGCAGGAGTTCGTAAAACGCGGTCTTGATGTTCCCGGATCTTTATGGCCGTCACTTAAAAACGAGTTTATTATGCTCCGTTGCCAGGATTCTGAGTCAGGCGAAGGAGGACTAGACCACTGTTATCCCGGAAAAACCAGAAAAATATCTGAGATAATTTAAAAACATCACGACGCAAGTTGTGGAAAAAATTCAAAAATATTGTAAGGCTGCCATCATGATATTTTTGACAGTAATTTTAGAATTTTCCCTCGTAAAATTAAAAGGAGGATTCTTACCGAAACATGAATCAGGACGAGCTTCATAGAATTTTTTTAGTTACCTACATTTGAGGATTTTTCAAATATTTTCGTAACACCGGCAGAGAATTTGTGTAACTATTTTGACAACTATAGTGTCATGAAAATGTTTCAAAAAATATTTAGGAAACACTTTCGCAATAATATCGTCGTTAAAACATAGCACTCAATAATTTTGACGATATTTTAAAAATATTTCTGACTTGCAAGGGTTTTCCAGGATCGTGGAGGCTCATCGTGAGATCCACGGGGTAAAGTTTGAAATGGAAGGGGGAAAATTGGAATGCATTTTGAAATTAGGAACCAAAATTTCGGGCTCAGTTTAGAAGCAACGTATATACCATTTGTTTCCTAATGTATACTATTTGAAAATAGTGTCACAATTTTTGGCTTACAAAAGCAACGTGTGTACCATTAGTACAACAACATACGTGTAATGATACACGAAATGATAAGCATGTACCAGTGTACCACATAAGATGTGAGATACGTGCTTTTGCGGATGAGCCAAAAATCGTAGTTCCTTATTGTGAAATGTAGTCCAATTGATTGACTGAAAACCTTCTGTCGTGAGGGTATTAAAAGGGTGTCGTGAGGGTACCCCATTAAAAGTTTCTTCTTTAAAAGTATACGAATGAAATAATTCATCCAACAAGCACTTTTGAATCTAATTCTAAATACGATATGAATGTAATCAGATATGATTGTACAATTTACATTATTTAAACAGCAAAAACACAAATCGCGTTATTTGTGTAATATTTCCACTTATAAGTTCTCAGTGTACATGTTAATATCTCACTTGAGAGTGGAAATCCGAACTCCTTACGCGTGGATCGCTTCCTACTTAAAGTTTAAGTGGAGGCACATGACACAGTACTTTAAATCATACCTTGTTTACTCGTCGCACACATGCGAATTTCGTCGAGAAATCGGTAAAATGGAGGAGAGGGGAGGAGTTCTGCCCGGTATTACGAAATTTATGAGAGTTCATGTTTGCATTGTGATTGCATTACACCTCTACCGTGCTGAGAAAAAACGCCGTATAAACCTGCGGACGTTGCCAAATTTCGTTCGATAAAACCCAACTTTTTTGGGAGCCTTTGAGTATTTCTTTCCCATTTTTTATAGAAAATTTCGTTCGTAATTTGATCTGAAGTATCAGAGAGTTTCCAGGCAGGATCTTCCCAAGTTTCCTTAAAAATAAATATTTCATCCGGGGGAATTTGGCAAAGCCTAAATGTTTATACGCCTTTTTCCCTCAGCACAGCAGAACTGGGCGAGTAACGGGAGGATGGCAAAAAATGCATCCTATGATACCGGAATGCCCTCATAATTTAACAGAGACGTAACGGTTGCACAGGGTGTTCCAAAATAACTGCTTGTTCATTAGACGCATCACTTTCCGCTCAGTTTGGCGATGAATAAAAAACAAACATCGACGAAGATTGATAACCCGTCTGACTGTGCAAAAATTAGGACAAAATGGAACGGTAGAAAACGAGGATGAAAATAATTTTATCTAGATTTTTAATGACGGCAACGAAACACGAGACCTGTGATGGGAATTGATGGAGCACGGAAAATGTTCGTTCGATGCAGTTTTCCGAACGGCAATTTTACGGCGGGGTTGTCAATTTTCACACTGATGCCAACTTTGCACACTAATTTTACGTAAAGCTCTATTGGATTATCAGATCGATAACTTACTTTACAGACCCCCTGCACTGACAGTGCCTCCCTTAAGTTATTTCTGGGGGATTTTGGGGATACGGGGACTTCGCCTATGATGATTGATGAGTGATGCGTTGACAAATCTGTTCAGCAGACGCGACCCGGTTTCAAAAACTTGTTTTGCAAATTGCTCGATCGGTCATCAGTAGCAGGCCGATCACATTCTTCACGAGTGGTTCATCGATTAACAATGTGCGAAATTTGGTAGCGATCCTAGACAGTGGCGTGGCGTGCTTTACGATATATCGATTGAACGGCCATTTAAACCCATGGAAAAGTATCGATAAACAGGGTGTTCGCAGCGAACACCTAAATAATCGATTATTTACCACAGCTTCAAATGAGGAAATATCGATAGATCGCAAAGCACTCCACGACACTGCTTTGCGGCGATTTTAGAGTCGCGCAAGCCAGGGGAGGAATCGCGGTCGAGTGTCCAGTTATCTTCACAGTGTGACGCGCCTTCAATCAAGTTAGCGGGAATGTACCTATAGACCCGTGGTCGAATAGTTATCGCAAATAACTCGTTTGGTGCAATGCGAGAAGTATTCAGGCACTCTTGTAGGCGCCAATATGCGCTTGACGCCGACCGCACTGTTTGGTGCAATGCGTGAAGTATTCCTACAGCCGTGCAGGCGCTGATATGAGTTAGACACCGACCGCACCGTGTTTGGCGAGATTATTCGCGTTAAGATAATCGCGCTCTATCACCACGACACTGATTCTAGAAACTCCTTGAATCAATTCTGTTCCTACAGATTGACGGAAAGCCAAAATAAACGGGAAACAATGGGAAAAGTACGTAAAGGGCCACTAGACGAAGTCTTGGCTAGAAAAAAAGCGTCACATGTTTTCTCTTCAAAATTTTATGTAGAAATTGATTCACACAAAACGTGAAGTTCAAAGATCAACACATGAACGAGATATGAAAAAGCTTTTTAACACAGATGAAATGGTGGTTAGATCATACAGTTATTTCATTATTTAGTATTTTTGTTATTTTAACCAATTATAATTTTCAGCGATCATATCTTGTTTAGTGGTCGATTTCCAGACTTTACGCTGTATGATTCGATTTCCTTGTCAAATTTTGTAGTGAAAATTTTAAGTAGAAAGTGATTCACACAACACGTGCAGGTCAAAGATCAACCCTTGAATGAAATATCAACAAGTATTTTGACCTAAGGTGGATCATGCAGCAATTTAATTATTTAGTATTTTTTGTTATTTTAACCAATTGTAATTGTCAACAATCAAATCTTGTTTAATGAGTTGAAATCCAGACTTCTCGTCAAGTATGATTCGTTTTTCTCATAAAATTTAGAAGAGAGAATGCGTTGCTTGATGCTTTAAGGTGATTCGATGGACGCCATATTTTTTGTCAGAACGGCATGCTGTATAACGCATCAATTGGTTCCATTTTTTCAGCTACTCGTCATTTTTCTCCAATTTTGAGATCGCAATCCAGTTGTCAGGAGACTAAAGCACTCACCAATTTTAACAAAGAAATTCAACGTAATAAAGGCGTGGTTTTTTAGAGAGAAAACATCGCATTCGAAACTGATATCGAAACTGGACTCGAATGCGATAATTTCTCTCTAAAAAAACCACGCTTTTATTACGTTGAGTTAATTTGTTAAAAGTAGTACCTAAGTGAGTGCTTTAGTCTCCTGACAACAGAATTGCGATCTCAAAATTGGAGAAAAATGACGAGTAGCTGAAAAAATGGAACCAATTGATGCAATACATCGCATGCCGTTCTGACACAAAATATGGCGTCCATCGAATCACCTTAATTCGTTCCTTGCTGGAGGTCCATTGAGGGGTAATAATGAACGGACAGGGTGCCCGTAAAATTTAAAAGCGGGGCGAGGGAGGATTTAATTATTTAATTTAACCAAAGGTCAATTTTTATCGCGGAAACTTTGGTTTCGTTTAATTAGAGTACCGCGTCGTTCATTCGCTTTTTCTGGCCGAACACAACGTTTTATCGGCAACGGGGTATTGTTTTCTCAATGAGAGGGCGCCTTGTCGAGACAATATCCGGAGTCGGTGAACTGGAGCCCCGCATCCCTCCAGCAATTTTCCACATCGGAATGGCGTCCATCAAACAGGAGCATCCACATCATATTTCCATAAAAGCACCTATCCGTGCGCGGATATCAATTGCAGATAAGTCGTTTCACCAAGTAGCGAATAAACATTTTTCTAAATCAAACACAATTTTTTTTTTAATTCATTTATTGTAGACCTGAGTCAACAGAGTGGACTTATAGATCTAACATATCGAACTGTAAAAACCCGCAAATCAATTGCATAGTTTCAAAATTTCCGCTAAATGAAACTTTCTGCTGTCTTTAGAGACACTTTCCCCTGAATTTCTACGGCTTCCTAAAACCCATCCGTTCATCTCCGCAACTTTTCCGGATTTTCATGAGCAACTGCCACCCTGTGGTTCATTCATCCGCATAAGTGTACTCTTTTTTTCTCTTCGATCACTCAGAGATTGCAACTTACGAGTGACGAACGCATTAAACTATCTCCACACGATTCAGGCTCCTGGCGGCTCGGGCCAGATTTTTAAGCCAGAATGGAAGCCAGAATGAAAGCCGGAAAAAACTAACAAAAAATTTAAACGGCACGGTTAGGTTACTTTTTGTTCTACCTCCCATATTAATACAAAATGTGCGTTACTTTTTGTTACTGTGCAGACGTGCAGTTGTCCTTACCGTACAGTACTTGAGTGTCACTTTGTCAAAAATCACGTAGACTTATCATAAATACAGTATGTACAGTACGTAAAATAAATACGTTTTGTTACTGTGCAGACGTGCAGTTGTCCTTACCGTACAGTACTTGAGTGTCACTTTGTCAAAAATCACGTAGACTTATCATAAATACAACGTGGTAAAATAGTACTGGGCTAACACCATTTTGCGGGAAAAGCAAGGCCAGAAAGTTCAAAAATGTCAATTACAGTCAAACATGTTGAGCTTTAGTGAGTATCAGTGAGTACAAGAAAACCAGGGAAACGGGGGGAAAATGATTATCAAATAAATTGTTAGCTCTACTTGAAATTTTTGAACTTTCTGGCCTTGCTTTCCCCGCATAATAGTGTAAATCCAGCACTATTTTACCACTTTGTTACATACCGTTCGAGCCACATTTCTCGGTGTCTTTTTCTTGTTTTCGCAAGACAGAATTTTGAGTCGAATTTGCAATTGCAGTTGTCCTTACCGTACAGTATTTGAGTATCACTTTGTCAAAAATCACGTAGACTTATCATAGATAAAAGGTGGTAAAATAGTACTGGGCTCACTCTATTTTGCGGGAAAAGCAAGGTTTTCTGGCCAGAAAGTTAAAAAATGTCAATTACAGTCAACATGTTGAGCTTGAGTGAGTATCAGTACAAGAAAACCAGGAAAACCGGGGGAAAAATGATTATTAAATAAATTGTTAACTCTGCTTGAAATTTGTGAACTTTCTGGCCTTGCTTTCCCCGCATAGGTAATAGTGTGAACCCAGCAATATTTTACCACTTTGTTACATACAGTTCGAGCCACATTTCTCAGTGTCTTTTTCTTGTTTTCGCGAGACCGAATTTTGAGTAAAATTTGCCATCCGTTTCTCTCGATGAGGGATCTTTCCTCCCAGCCCGAACAGACCAAAATTTTTGAACTTTCTGGCCTTGCTTTCCCCGCATAATAGTGTGAACCCGGCACTATTTTACCACTTTGTTACATACAGTTCGAGCCACATTTCTCAGTGTCTTTTTCTTGTTTTCGCAAGCCAGAATTTTGAGTAAAATTTGCCATCCCTTTCTCTCAACGACGGATCTGTTTTTCCAGTCCAAACAGACCACAAAACAAACCCAATAATGTGAACCCGGCACTATTTTACCACTTTGTTACATGCAGTTCGAGCCACATTTTTCAGCGTCTTTTTCTTGTTTCGCAAGCCAGAATTTTGAGTAAAATTTGCCACCCCTTTCTCTCGACGACGGATCTGTTTTTCCAGTCCGAACAGACCACAAAACAAACCCACCCCACGGCCCCGGGTCACGGGCGGTTCCCGGATCACCCCTCCTCCGGTCGGCGAAAAGCCAGGCAGCGTCTCCGTCTCCGTCTCGGCGTAATCAAAGTCTTGGCTTTTTTCCTGTCTTGGCGGCTCGGTCTGGGGCTCGGGGCGGACAGCGTGGATTTATTAAAATTATAGGAGTCACGCGAGAGCGCCGGTCGATATTTGTCGACGACGACGGCGGAGGGACCCGCCGATGCGATCGCCACGGTAACCGGGCATCGAACAAGCAACACACCTGCCCTGCCCCGGCCCTAGCCCGGGTCCTCCAGTGCGTCCAAGTCCCTCGGGTCGCCGCCGCCGTCGCAGGGATGGCCAGGAATCCCGTTTCGCAAGTGCCCGGATTCATATCGGTGAGTTGACTTCAACAAGATCTCCACGACGGGTGAACCGGAAGATGCGCTTTTGGGGGTGGATAGCATCGAATGTACCGGAGTGGTGAGGGAGGATAGTTTGGGATTGTGAATGTGGGTGTTTGGTGGCGTCGTGGATGTAAACAATGGGATTTAGGTTATGTTCGCCGCCATCATTAGAAATGGGCTTCTAGACAAGATATAAATTAAAGCACTACCCAACATGTTTCCTGTTCAAAATTTCACAGGGGAAACGAATCACAAAGCAAACACACCCTCACCCACCCTCACTCACACAACACATGTCTGGAAATTAACTCCTAAACAAGATATGAGTTTACCATTGACGTTGGTTCATTGGCAAAAATACAAATGGCCTCATTAATTTAACCTAATACCTTTCGTTCGATCTTTGCTGATTTTTTTTTTAAGTGATGCCAGGAATTCGAAAGTTTATAACCGCATCAACACACAGACGCCATTCTTCTGTCTTATAGCAACTCTCCCCACTGCGACTCATCCAATCCTGCCTCTCTAACGTTCTTTCTTACGTTGTTCTCATACCTGTGCTAAAAGTACTTGTTAATACCTCGTCTAGGAGTTGATTACTAAACTTTCTGTCATGCGCATCGTTTCCTATGCGTTAGACTTTGAATGAAAACGAGACGTTCCTTTCTAGTTCAGACCTTGTCTGATGGCCCATCTCATCATGCTTGTGTTTTGAGTGAAAAGTTGTCATTTTGGATCTCTGTTTCAGGGCAAAGAGTATGGTAAGATAATATAATGTAATCAGTGATGTGGGTGCGTAGTGATAATGGTGTGGATGTAAACAACGAGAATTGGATTACATCCGCCACCACTGGACATTTTACTCATGCTGCGGGTACAATTTTACTTCAGCTCTCAATTTTAGTGCGCCAAAGAAGGTTAATTATGATCGTGGGTGTAGATGCATGATGACATCATGGATGTAAACAATGGGAGCTAGATCATGTTTTCCCTTAATTCGCACTCAAGGAGAGTACGAGGATCTGTTTGGAAGACCTATCATTTTAAATTTCATTGTGAAGCAGTTGAAATTTTCAGGCATTATCACGCACATTTCAGAAAAAATGTGGCACCTCTTCAAATTTCTGACTTCTTTCCTCGAGGCAAAATTTTAACTCAGACTCCGAAATTTTCAACAATGGAGATTACCCAGATAATATTTCGAACACTTTTAAAAAACTTGCCCTGAGCAGATGAAAAATATGATCCGTACGTAAAATCGATTTTTCTCGATAAGATGAGTGTTGGTGAAGACCAATCTGCTTGTAGTAACTGATCTTGGAAAATGATAGGAAAATTAAATTAGAGAGGTTCCATTAAGGGTAAGAAGCACTTATGGACGAGGAATTCCAAATACGAGGAGGCCTTTGAAAATATCAAAGGTAAGGAAATATTTTTAGGACTTCTCCATACAATATGTATCATTCAAGAATTTAATTTTATCAACATATTTATTCTTCCCCTACTGAAAACCAAGATTCGCGCTTGTTGATTCATTGTGCAACCTTGAAGGTACTCAACAAAATTTCGACAAATTTCTTTTCATTTTCAGTTTGAGCAGGATAAAAGAGCTCAAATAAGGACGAAGACATCAAAGCCAGAGACCAATCGACTCGCCAGGGAGACAGCGGGCAGCGTGCGAGTGACAACGGGGAGGCCGACGGAAACCAGCTCCGGGATCAAAAAGAACTCTGTAAATACTTCAAAAAGCTCGATCAACTCGTCCTCCAGACCTACTTTGTCGACGAAAAGAACGGAGTCAAACCCGAAAACCCCGGCTGGTGTAGATTCAAAGACGAGAAATAATGTATCGACCAAAGGTCAGTCCTAAAAACTACTAGACTCTTTCAGAAAAGTTGGGGGGGGGGGTCATTCTAAGGTAATTTCAAAATTTTCAGACTCGTGGACCGAGTCAAATGATACTTCGACTTCGTAGCAATCAATGAACTATACAGCCAATAAACAAGGTAATTACAAAAAAGAAACGCTTCGGTCATGGTAGGTATGCAATTTAAGCTACTTGGGAGTTAGAACAGTTGTATCGTTCGATTCTCTTTCTCACCAAATCGTTCAAAGTGGAAACTCCTTCAACATATTGGGTATGCAATGTAAGCTACTTAGGAGTTAGAATAGTTGTATGGTGCAATTTTCTCTATTGTGGTCATTTCAGAGTCAATTATATAAGGTTATTTTTAGAGTGAAATGAATTGAAATAAAGCCGAATTCAACGGCTACGATAGGATTGCACGAATGTCCCCTTTGTACCTTTTTGGAGTTGCATAGGATTGTGCGAATTTTTCTGATAGTGGTTACTCTGGCAACCTTGGTAGTTTGTGGTAGATAACTACATCGCGAAAGATTGTTCATTCTCTTCTCACTTACGGGCATGTCTTTCTTCGATGGATAGCCCTCTCAGCACGAATGGTCCAGAGAGCTTTTATAGACATTTAAAAGGTGAACTAGGGGCCTGTAGCCGTTATGCGGCCGCCGACCACTATAAAAAAAATATAGTAAAAAATCGTTTTTTAAGAGATGAATGGATTCAAAACCCGACGGGTGCACCCGAAAGAAAGCGTGGATTTATCTCTGATTGCAACATTATGCACCACTTTTATGATTTATTTTTAATAAATGTGTTTAAAAAGCTACACACGGTTTTTCTGAAAAGTTTCCGCGAATTTGCCTAAATGATCTCCGATAAAAGTATCGAAAATCTCAATTTTCGTTCGTTCTATTTTCTTTTAATGTAACAAAAAAAAAAAAATAAAAAATAAAAAATAAATAAATAAATGGTTAAATAAATAAATATCATTCGAGTTCCTGAATCTTTATAATTTTCCATTTAATTATGGTAAAAACTGGAGCAGAAAGTCAAGAATGATGACACGCAGTTCTGCAACATTCTTACAGTTTTGTAGGCGCTAACATGCATTTCACGCCAACTGGCAGACTGCACTGTGTTTGGCGCAATGCGAGAAGTATTCATGAAGGCTTGTAGGCGCTTGCGCCGACCGCACTGGTTGGCGCAATGCGTGAAGTATTCCTATAGTCTCGCAGGCGCTAATATACGCCGGCCGCACTGTTTTCGGCGCGATTATTCAAACTGGCGTTAGAATAATCGCGGTGTCGAATAATAGAGCTTGAAAGACCCACGTTGTGTTTCGACGCCTATGAGCATTCCAATGTTGCCTCGTTTCTCCCGATGGAATATTTTTCTGAGAAAAGATAGGAAAGTTCTTTATACCGATGACCACTGTACAATCTTTTCACTTCATTTAACATCAGAAGGTAAGACATCGGTGATTACGCCTAGACTGGCATTAAAATAAAAATTCGTTTATTTTCAAAGTGTTTATCTTGTTTTGCCAAACTTCTACCTTAAATAACTTCATTTTAAATTAGCGCATTCCTGTAGCAGATGTTAAAGTTTCTATTCGCGCAATCCTTGTGTCTTTTTCGCGCCATCATTGTGTCTTTTTCGCGCAATCCTCATACATTTTTTTAGACCTTTCGCGCAATCTTAGATTACCGAATTTAACTAAAAGCAGAGACAAAAGGGACTCAATATACATTAATAGGGATAATACATCATGATACATTATAAGGAAACAGAATATTATTATTATTGACAGTGTGAGTCCGAGTTGTGTCAAAAATAACAGCTAAACGGGTAATTTTTCCCACATAAAATGTCAGGTAAATCAAGTTAAGCACATCAAAATTGTCATAAATACACTTCAAAACGCACCATTGAAAAATACAATTGTTTTTCCTACTCTAGGAAATGAAGGATGATTTGCTGAAGTAAAAAAAAACATTGGTGGCAGTGATGCAGATGACGAAATTCCTGTAAAGACATAAATAAAATAAAGCGTCAAGATAGAGGAAAAAGTAATTTAGAACATACCTGTAAAACTACCACCTCATGAAAGGTTCAAATCACGGAGTCTGCAACAAACAAAAACAGTATAAATTTAGTATTAAAAGACTGAGCCACATCACGTTGGAACGGAGAAACAGAGGATCGAAGTCTTGTTCCTCTCTAAAACTCGATGGTAAAGCTTTAGTTGAGTCTTAATTGGATTACATTTTGCAATGAGAAACCACTATCTGCGACTCTTCTGTAGAGGCACCTTTCGGCATGAGGAAACCAATGGCATATATTTTGTCTCTAAACTGAGCCATAAATAGTGGTTCTGTACTGCAAAATGTGGTCCAACTTCATATAGAAAGTATTCTAGTTCCTAGTTGGCCATTCTCTGATTTACTTTTACATGTATTTGTTAGTGCCAAATGCTACCTACAAAACGGATTCGAACCCAAGACCTCCGACGAGTGTCCCAAGCTCGAAAACAACCTCGCTCCGATCAACGACTCAGGTGGCTCAAGACAGGACCTCCAAAAGTGGACCGAAAGGTTCCGCATACAGCTCAACAAAACCCTCAGTTTCTTGGAAACCGGAGACCAGCAGATCTCAACAACCAGCGCCGCGACAGAGCACTGCCAGCAAAGTTCCCAGTCGGCCGACCGTGAAAATGAAAGAGGAGATGGATCGAATATCATCTTCCAGCGAAGAGAGCCTTCACTACTCGGACGATTTTGAGGCAAGTATTCAAATGAGGTCAATCCCGCAGCAAGAAATAGGCGACAAAAATTTCTCATTACAGGGGCCATGGGTGGTTACAAAGATTCATGATGGCAATGGACCATCAGGCAAGATACGAATTTAAGAAGTCTGATGTATATGAGCAGATGTACCTCACGGGAAAAAAGAGCACGAGGTTGTTGAATGATATGGACATTTCCAATCAATTGTGGTTGTCCCCAAATTAATTGTGGTATAGTACGCCAATGAACGTCCAACTTGAGTTGCGGTACTGCCAAAATTGATTTGACATGTCTATGTCATCAAAAAAATTGGGGTTTCACCACAAGTTGTCTGCCGCGCGACACACAAACGCCGTAAATGTCATTTTTCATTTTGTGGAAACAATGTATGATAGCAGAAAAACTTGTGTACCTTGGGACAATGTTTTTACAGAGTTTTTTCGCAAATGCTATCAAGAACTTGACCTGAAAATTTGAGGTGCGTGGGTAAAACGGTTTTTATTTTATAAAGTGTTAAGTTCCAAAAAACGAGGGAAAATCTTGATGGATTTACGGCGTTCTTGCTTAGCACGGCAGTTGTGAATTCTGCCATTTAAACAGTGTAAACGTTCAATTTTTGTGACAGTTCATTATAAAGATCCACCGGGCCGATTTTAATGATTTTTATAACTACCAATAAGAGATAGTTCCTAGGTAAATCAGCTCTATTTAGATTTTCTCACGGAATCCTGCAAAGTAAGGGCGCGAAGCGCTCTCAGAGGACCGTGCCGCGTAGCGGCCAGGGGGCATACTCCCTGCCCTACCTTCTAGAATCTTGATAACGACGTTAATTGGGTTTTTGGTTGCACTTCACTAGGACTACGAATCCGACTTCGAGGAGTACGTGGGATCGGACGATGATGACGTGGTGGAGAAAACCCCTCGGCAGGAGGAAAAGCCGACCGGAAAAGCGGCTTTCGGTGAGGAAATGACCCACGATTCCGGGACCTACGACATGACGGCCGCCCCGCACCGCACGGACCACATGCAGACGATACAAGAGAAAGCCAGGGCAGAGAACCTCAACTTGGATTTCATCACGTGAGTATCGAGTTTTTCCATCATTTCCACGATTCTTGCCGAAGCAATGTGTTTTTCGGCGAGGCTTCTACTATGCCGACGTGGAAGTTCCGAATCACGTATCTCGATTTGGATCGCATTTGGCAAAAAGGAACCAGCGCGATTACAGTGTTTTCAAAATCGTGCAACTTCTTCTTTCCTTTTAAAAATACTCAATATATGTACCGTATTCAAATTTACACAGTTATTTCCCTTTAAAATTAACAACTTTTTGACGGGGAGCAAAAACTATTTGTTATTCTGAGAGATTTTTTAGATTATAATGAAGAAGCAACATTTTTACAACACTGTAATCGCGCTGGTTCCTTTTTGCTAAGTGCAATCCATTTGCGACTTTGCAGACTGTTTGTCAAACTTTATTTTTGGAATGGAGAGCTACACAATGTCAATTCTTAAAGACTTCCAAGGTAATTCTTCTCTGTGCGAAGTATATCCTAAAATAACTTCGAAAAATGGTGTGATTTTTTTTTTTTTCATTTTTCATTTTTTTATTTTTTTTTTAAGGATATTTTTAACACCGCTAAAGAGATACATGATTTGTGAATTTTGCGGTCAAACTGATGGTGTTAATATGAACTCTTCTCATTATTAACAAAAAAAGAATCATGGGAACTGGGTGATATATTATTTTAACTTCGGAATTCGTTTGAAATCTCTGTCAGAAACTTTCATTCTAAACTCAGGTTGATATTTGTTTCGCCAATCTGTGTTTTATGAAATCGTTCATTATGATTAGTAACACCATTTGAAATATGATTAATGTAAGAAGAGATTAGCCAAGGTGTTAGGTGTTTTCACTGATTTATTTATTTAATAAAAGACTTCAGCGTACCGATAACCAGTAAACTTTATGCCGATATTCACACAGCGGTATTTTATTGATAATTGTGACCAGCGAAAAGGTTTTTTTAAGTGTTCTTTTGTTTTGTGTTTTTGACCTTTCTTTGTAAGCTCTGATGATGAACGCGAACCGAAAAGCTTCAGCATGTTTATTAAATAAATAAATCGGTGAAAACACCTAACACCTTGCTAATCTCTTCTTACATTAATCATAATCTGTGTTTTGTTTCGTTCTATTTGAGTTACTTTTCTTCAGTATGCGTGAATTTATTTAATTATTGGACCACGATTTTACATGCTTTCATCGAGTTGGATGCAAACTGATTTTTCACTCCTGTGATGAGTTTACAGCTATGAAAACGAGAGCGGAGCTGCAATCTAGCTTTTGCAGCTAATTTCAATGTTAATTGCAAAATATTTTTCTGAGAGGAAAATCGAATAAAAGTTACTGGACATTTCGCAGTGATAGTTATTAAAAACATGAAGATAAAAACGAAAGTCACTCGTCCTTCGGACATCACGCTATACCAAACTGCGTGATACAACTATTTCAACTCCTGAGCCGCCCAAATTGCATCCGTCGAGTTGAAGGCGAACTTGATTTCTCACACCAGTTTTCAGTTATTCCAACGTGCCCCCGAGAGCGATACTTAACTCTATTTTTTGCAACTTATCTCAATGTCAATATTAAAATATTTTTTTGCGGAGAGAATCGAGTGAAAGTTACTGAACGTTTCACTGCGATGGGCATTAAAAGCACGCTCATTGCAATGCACCACTAGCCAAGATGTTTACTGAGGCGCTTAGATACATGTTTCCTGACCAGAGGTCTACATGAGACACGATTCGCGCGACGAAAATTACTGAAATAAACTATTATTTAAGACATCTAACGGTTTTCGATGCGTAGATCCAAACCTCTCACTCGAGGGGAAACTATTGTCCACGTGAATTTCAAGTTTTTCAGAGAAATGAATGTTCTCTATAAAATGTTTTAAACTCTTCAAAAAGCAGCGTGAAAAGCTCTATGGTGTTCCATACGTTTCACAATTTCTCTCCTTATGAACGTGCAGGGTGTCTACTAAACCAGGCTGGCCAAAAATCAGTACTTTTATAGTACTTTTTCAGTGCATTCCCAGGAAATTCAGTACCTCTTCGACAGAAATCTCAGTACTTTTTCAGTACCTCCATTTTACGAGATTCGAAAAATTTCAAAAATTTGAATTTCTCGCTAAAATTGCGAAAAAAATGACAAGAAAAGAGTAAAATTCCAGACCTTCTTGCGGAATTTCCGCACTTTTTCAGTACTTCCGGACCGCCCTTAAAAAATCAGGACCATTTCAGACTTTCCGGAAATTCCGGACTTGTAGACACCCTGACGTGACATGTTACTTTTTACAATTTACAATTTACAATCAACTTTTCCAAAAAGCATATAAAAGAACCGGGCTAAGCGCTAGAAACACAGAAATTGCACATAGAATCACTGCAGAGCTGTAAGAAAAAAACGTAACTGTCGGAATGTAGCGCCCATCCCTGCGAAAAAACGCTTAAGCACGTGCCTCCTTAATCCTTAATCCAATTCGTGATTTTTCTGTCACAGCGGCGACTTCAACTCGCTCGTCTCAAAGGATGAGGGCTTCGAGGATTTCAAGAAGGAGGAGAATTCCTTATCTTCTCTGCAGTATCATCAGTTCATAACATTCGAGACGGTCTCAAAAGAGGAACGAAAACAGAAAGTAAGTCGTTGGACTGGGTCAACCTTCGACCCAGCCACGAAATTGACTTCATTTTATTTTTTTAGCATCAGGTTTCATAGAATGAACCACTAAATGGGAATAAAATTGAGGGGATGGGAGGACAAGACGCGTAAGTGCAGTTTTTAAAAAAATTGAGATATTAATGGTTTCAAGTAAAACGAGACTTAATGCATATTTTGTGAAAAATTTGCTCCCAAATTCCAATTTTTAAGCGTCAAAAAGGCAGTTTGAACTTTCTTTCCGCCATAAGGATCCATGATCCAAACTTTAAACACGTATTTCTTGAAATAGCAAAAACTACCTTTATGCCCCTTGCCCTCCGAGCTTCTCATTAAACTAACGTTCCTTGACTGCAATTTACACAAATAATTCACGAATTACACCAATGATAACATTAAAAACAATCAATTTTTCTCGAAGTATGCTGCTTCAGAATCGATAATTTGTAATTGGTTGCAGTGAAGGGGAAATATCAGTATTGCTAACCTGCGAGAACCACCAGTGGTCACTGGCAACTGTATCTACATTGCCTTAGAGGCAAAAAGCTGCATGGCCTTTTAATTTAAGGCAGGACATATGTTATACTTTTTTTTTCTTTTACGCTAAAGGTGCTTATCTTTTGAGGAGGGCTTTGGAAATAACTCTCAGGAAAAATAAGTTCATAGGAGTGGTTTTTTTTGTTACTTTTCTTCATCGATGCCCTCTGAAATGGAAAAAACACAAGAGACAACCTGAAAAATCTGACACTTACGACATCGTAAAAAAAAGAATGAAAACACATCGTAAATTGAGACGGCTCAAAAAGGGGTGAGTCAGTGCATAAGCCGTAAGAACCGGTGAATGAACCAAAAACAAAGAAAGCCAGTCTTAGAACTGAAAAATATATAACGTAAATGGATATAAAATAAAGAAGAAAGCAAAGACTATAGAAAAACGCGAAAAGCACTGAAAAACACTTCAGAGCAATTAAATACATCAATCTCGGGGCTCAGAAAAAACGGGAGGATAACGAAGATGGGGTCACCCCGGTCAAAGGCTATGATTTTTCTAGGCTCTTTTTAATGTCGACATAAAAATTCCCCACGATACACAGAACCCGTGTTGGCTGGCGATCGCCGATGCCAGATTGCACTTAAATTTCGCCTTTTCAAGGTAAAGACCGAGGAGAAAGTTGAAGAATGGTGCATTAGGTCGCAACACAGCTTTTTCCGGGCACCGCACAAATCTCATCGTAATGCTCTCCTGTGTCGAGTGTAATGCTGGCGATAAATTCGGAGTTACAAAATTTGTGCGACAATGCGCCCACTTTCCGCGACTTTAATCGGGAATCAGAGCGGTTTATGGCAACCCCGCAATAAATCTAGCTTTGCGTACGCGTCGTTGTTTTTAATTGTTTTCTTGGTGAGGAGGTAGCGCCTTTTGAACAGCGTTGCTTTTAAGAATTCGCCTCCTTCACCTTGTTTCTTGCGGCAAAATTAGTGTCTGTAAATTCTGTCATCTACACAGCTTTTGATCTCTTCCTCTGAACAGCAGGCCGATTATTGAAATTGATAGACAAATCCACAGACAAAGAAGACAAAAAAAGGATATGGAGGGATCCTATTGGTGAAATCGGGTGGTTGCAATGGACAAAGGAGACGGTAATAAACTAACGGCACCCCACGAGGGACCCTATAGTTAGTCCAGCATTTTCTCCCTTAGTCTATAAGAACCACCCATTTCAACAAATAGAATCGCTCTATACTCCTCATGTCTTCTTTGTCTATTAATTTCAATAATCAGCCCGCAGAGCACATAACCCGCGCGTTCAATGAAGGTACGAAATTTGGGTGAATTTTAAGGGTGCGAATACTGATGTTTATCGAAAAACTCCTGAGGAATTCTAGTTCATTCAGTATTTTTTGGGATAGAATGGGTCATTTTTGCTGGTCATAGAGTCGTTTTTCGGTAGTTTGTCCTCCCGCTGAATTTCATTAAATCGAACGACGAATATCATGTAATCACTTAACCTTTTCTGTTATTCCATTGGGAAAAAGGTTACTTCAAAAGTTCGGAAGACGTTTCGCGAAAATTTCAGCGTATGCGAGCATATTGATGGGTAAAGTGCAAAACTACGTACCTCCATTTGCGACTTCTGGTCATACTATATTTTTCGTTGAAAAACTAATCAACTTAATTTCTTGAAAAACTCCCTTGATTTTTCTTCTCTGACAGCAGAATATTTCTCAGTAACTGCAAGCTATATAGTTGACTTGTTTCTCCTTGAAGAAATAAAATTTGAGCAGAGATTTTGAAACACTGCAATAAGAATACGTGGTTTCGCACTTTAGCCACCGATATTAGAAACCATCCTTGTTAACGCATTAAAAAAAACCAAAGTCAACTTACACTTTCTGCTCGCTAAAAAAATCAAATTCTAGGTGGCGGTAGCCACCCCGGCCCAATCCTAAAAAACTCCCCCTAAAAAATGACGAGACCAAATGGAAAAAAAAAAAAAAAACCGACGGGTGGCTACTGCCTAACTAGTTATATGACTTACGTCAAATCTGTGAAATAGGTACTATCGTTACATTATTGATTTGCACATTGTCTCTGCACTTGAAACTTTTCAATTTCCGTGACACTTACGACAGAACGCTGGGCTCTGTTTTCAGAAATTACGGAAAAGCGAGCTGCGAGCGAGGAAGCTGCTGTCGATGTTCCGCCTGGATCAGAAAGGCGGGATCCTCATGAACATGGCTCCCATCCCTTACGAGATCTACATGCAGTGCTACGGACGCTCAAACACGCTCCAGGTATGTACTCGTGCAGAAATGTTCGCCAAGAGTCGCGTCGTCATCGTGTTCAAAGCCGAGCACCGCGTTCAGTCACAACTCGAGCGCTTTTCTTTGACTGATGAGCCGCAATGTTGCCTCTTCCGGATATCAACGTGCCCAAGTCAGAAAATGAAAATGTGGCAATTTTGTAACGGCAACTTTTAATGGCCACTTAGGAGAGTAAAGAATAAGTAAGGCGGAGAGGGGAAAAAATTGTCTTCCCTTTTTCTTTTTAACGATTTTTTTCTTGCGGAAAATAGTTGTTCTTTTGGGTATCAAACTTTACTTTGAATGAAAGGAATAATACAGACGAATATTGAAATAGCAGCATTTGGTAGAGTTGCATAGTCATACCTCATCGTCTTACACGAGACGGTGCAATTATTTTGCCATTCTTAAACTTTAGTACAATCACGCCAGTATGGGATGGTCGTTTTTTGTCTTCGAAGTTGAGGCAAAATTATAAATGCTTTACTTTAATATTCGATTCTCAGCCGAGTTAACACGAGGCACCAACTTAAATATGGACGTATTTCTAACTATGTGCATTGAGACATGAGCCCTGAGACCCTCACGAATATATGCATAACAGGGCTCACGTCATAATGCACATAGTTCCGTTTGGCAGAAACACGTCCATATAACATGATCTCGGAAAGGAAAGAGAGGACATGTCTGGTGTATTCCCTGACAAATCCCTTGATTTTGCTGGACATTTTTGGTTCCCTGAAACCCGGTGTTACCCGGTTTGTCGGGGTCCTGAACACCATGCCTCAAACCGGCGTACACTGGAAAAAAAACACATTGGCTCTAGAGTCCAGACTCTTAAAAACATCGACAAGATAAAGTACTCTTGATTCAATCAGAAACTGGCTTAAATCAAGAACCAATCCTCTTAATTTAAGCGGATTTTGTTTTGATTCAAGCAAAAATCCGATTGAATCAAGAGTATTTTTTCTTGTCAATGTTTTCAAGAGTCTGGACTCTAGATCCAATGTGTTTTTTTTCCAGTGTACTAAGAAACGCTTGTAAAAGCACTTCACGCCTTTGACGACAGCCACTCTCGCTCGATATTCTTGTAAAACATTTTCGGTGAGACAATTCAAATGCAAGATAAAACAGTCTCGAAGCCCACCCCCATTTCAATCACCACCCCGCCAAGTGCGTTTCAGCCCCTTTTTTAAACCACGGCAATAAACATACGACACCCATCTTCGAACTAAATCAAAGCGACAACGCCCCGAGTGGTAGATTCAAACTATCACCGGAACATTCGAAGCCCCTTCAATCCGTCCTGCCGCGACCAGCATAACATCACACCCCCAACCACTAGAAACGACGCACGCTCTATCTAAAACAAATCCCACATACGTTATTCTTCCATGCATTGCGAGCTCATTAGGGGCCCGGAAAACAAGGCGCGGCAACAAGGGATGAGCCCCGGGGGAGGGGGAGGGAGGGGGTAAATGTCAAAGGCCCTGACATTTGAGACTTCCGAGGGGCTCCGAACGCCCCTCGGGCCAGTCACAACTCACAAGCGAGCGACGCATTGTTCCGCGAGACGTCTTGTCTTCGCTAAGATGAGCGCCCTCTCGCGGCCGGAAACCGCATAACTCCCGCGGGAGTGCTTCGGGCGGATACGCGGTTTCGCCGCGGGTCGGTTGGCCGAAGGCACGAGTCACCGGCTCTCAAATTAAAATCGTAACGAACAAGATGAAAGCGTGAAAACTCGCCGAATGCATTCATTAACCCGGAGCTCCTCTTGTTGAGTCGGACTGGGTGTATATTATTTGAATGACCCTGGAGGACGAGGGTCGTCAGGCTCAAATAGAACGTGATGTTTTTGTTTCTCGGCGGTGTATCATAAACTCGTAGAGAGCAAATTGGATCACTTAAATTTGTATGAGAGCAAGAAGATAACAGAGATTTTTAATGCGAAAAACAATACGGGAACCCTGAGGCCTATCAAAGAAGGAGAGTTCGTGGAAGCACAGTTCTTCGCGACAACCATTAGATAGCTTGTTTCAGATTTCTCATGATAGATGATTGAACTATTGTTCGTGGCACACCCTGACCCCATAGAAAAGCAAGTTGGATCAATTAGATGTACATATGGACGTATTTATGCTAAAAGGAACCGTGTGTATAAGGTTTGTGTGCAACATAATTCCTTTTAGCATAAATACGTTCATATATAAGTAATGGTATACCAAAGAATTTGAATCTGAAAGACAATATGGAAACCCTCAGGCTCATCAAATGGAGAAAGTTTATTAAAGCATATAGTTCTTCGCAACATGAAAACTTGAAACTGCAACAGCTACGGTTGGGTCTGATATGGTTGGGTGTATTTCGTTGTTCTGTGTAAGAAAGAACGTAACTGAATTTCAGCGTTGCAAAATTGCCGCTAGAAAATCGTAGTTTCAATCGAAAACTGTTGGGATTTTCAAAAACAAAAGTTTACAGATATTTTCTCAAATCAGCAAAAAAATCAGGGGACTTTTTTTAAGACATTGCACAGTCATATTATCGTGACAAATTGAACTGTTCGAATCAATTTTGCATTCTTGGAATGGAATTATGTTCCTTCGTCTGAAGAACGAGGATTTGTCCATAATTTTTCGGGAAGCACTTATCTAGAATCAATGGTACCGATATCTCAATTTTACATTTCTCAGCACTAAAGTCATTTTTCCTATGCCACGCGTGAATTTGAGTTCAGTTATCACTGACTGTAAAAATTTCTTGTAATACTGAAAGTATCGTGTCCTTGTTTCTTCCCTTAGATCAGTACACAGACGGAGGATAACAGGCCTTCAACTGAGGTCCAAACCGAGGAGGAAGAGAAGCGAACAAAATGGACCCAAATTCCAGGTCCGATCAAAGATAACCCGAATAACGCGACGGGCTTGAACCGTGCTCCCACACTTCAGCAGGTGAGTTAAAAGTGTGTTTCACTTCCCGAGTTTCAGTTGTTTTGCTATCAAATGGGTACAAACTTCAGCTGAAGCAAAAAATAAAGTTATTTTGAATTAGTTAGTCTTTACAAAGGAGATTACTCGATGGGTCGTAGCCGTTGATCGAGATTCGGTAACCTTATGTGGTGTCTAGTTTTTTTTTTTTCATTTTGGGAAATCCTGATGAAATCCTGATTTTTGATTGCTAAATCTTGGTTTCATAATTTTTCTAAATCCTGATCAAATCCTGATTTCGCGCACGGCGAATGGAACTTCACAAAAATAGCTCGACAAAAAAATCCGATCGGACGGCCGACTTTTCTCAAATCCTAATTTTACGATCGATTTTTCCTCAAATCCTGATGAAATCGGAATTAAATCCAGATTGACTTTAAATCCTGATAGAATCGGAAAAATCATAATACTAAACACCCTGCCTTTGGAAGAGCAAAAGGTGCTCCTGTAAGGTTTCGCTTAAGCTATTTGTCCTTCAGGCCAAGGATATTCGGACAGCAGCAATGGTACGATGGAATCATCCATCACAAATAGTAGGTATATACTCGTTGAGACTGGTTTTTCATCACAACCCTACTAAAAACCAATCATCCTGAGGGGACAAAACTTGGAAGGACGTTTTACGAGGGAACCTACGGAAAGGTCCAAATTACTTTTCATTCAAGGATGAGGGTGTTCCTAAGACAGTTTGTTACTTACTCACCACAACTGAACTGCAATGCCTCGTCCATGGAGTTGATGAGCCATACCGGGACGGTTAGGTTCCTGACTTCGGCGCGGTTCCACCCCGTGTGAACCCGCCGTGAAACCCATTGAGGAAGGTCAGGATGAACTGTCCAGTTTCTTAGATGACCTGAAACAAAATATTTCGGTTTTCTTGGTGAATCGGTCGCAGCCTTAATCAGGGTGGCATGAAACGTCAGAAAAAAATGAAAAATTGGAAATTTCAGTGAAATCTTCCATGAAATTTCACGAGGCTGTGAAATATTTCATATTTTTCAGGGGCTAGAGAATGCAACCCACACTCAAACACACACAATTAGAAGAAAGCCACAATTTTGATTTTGCCACCCTGGCCTGAATGGGTTAGGCGAATGCACCTTATTAGCATCGTACTTGAACATAAAACTTTCGGACGATCTCTTTATGACGGTTTGAATTTTCACAGACAAGGGAAGGCGTTGGAGATGATTCCATGAGGTCCCAAGAGGCTATCGCGGCTGACATAACGGAGCGGAATATTTACAAACTGGATGGAAAGAGGTTGGATCGATTCCTATCCATTGCAGGAAAGGTAAGGCATAGAAAGAATATTCAATTGAATCATACTACAGCGTAAATTATCGAATAAATGGACTGCATTTTGCAATTTGGACCTATAAATTCTGGCCCGGTTTGAAAACAACGTATGTGCCATTCGTTTCCCTACGCACATAAGTGTTTTTTCAGATGAGCCAGAATTTATAATTCCAAATTGCAAAATGCAGTCCAAATATAAGACTCTTCTAAGCCGGGAATGTCATAAAATAGATACACTGTTAACATTTTTGCAGTAAAATTCAGTGTCGGAATCTACATAGCGCCCGAAGAACCCAACTGATACGTATGCGGGGTAAAATCCACTCTTTTTATGGAGTGACATAATTTTTTCCGGAGCGGAATTTACCGTTTTTAAGGAGAGTCATGCGCTCTTATGAGGTACATTTTAATTAGAATTAGTATCTCTTGGGTTCTTTGGGAGCTATACAGACTCCAAAATAAGTCATACACAGAATTTCACTTCTCGATTTTTGACAATTTAAGAACAATTGGGGTTTCCCTACTTATTTTCTTAGTTTTCCGACATAAAATTCAATGAACTTGTTCCGTACTTAAAGATGTTTATGAATTCTTAAAATTTTGAAAAGTTGAGAGTGCACATAGATCACCGGAATGTTCCCTATATTTTTTGACCGAATATCGACCTATGGGAAACAAGTTCAAAGTTGCGTATTTTGATCTCCCATTTTAACGAGAGTCGCCGAGAAATCCAAGATGGCGTCCAAAAATATCCATTCAACCACGGGTACCCTCTCGACCGCGCAGCCCCTCTGCAATGATTTATGGTCTGTGCAGTCCTGCATTATAGTAACGGCTATAAATTAATAATTACTGAACAAGCTCATTGGTTTTGGTTTTTTTTTTTTTTAAACTAATCATCTCCTGAGGAGACATCATCATCAAAACGACTGTCGGCTAAGATTACGACCTTCATGTGCGAGCGTAGAATTTCCGTATGCTGTAACTAATTTTGCCTATCGCTATTTATGAAGGAATTTTATGCGCTGTTTCATCATCATGTCTATAAGCGCTCTCTGACCCACTAAATTTTCGTTTATATCAAAGTTCATTCCACTCGGCTAATTGCCACGATTTTTGATGCCATCGACAGGCGACAGTTTCGAGATGAGCCTGCTCTAATTGGATTTTAGAAATATGACCCAGATTTTCTTAAATTACGTTATAAAGTTACGAATTCTTGCATTAGAGCAATGTAAATTTGATATTTGTTTCAGAGAATTCTCATGCTTTTGGAAAGGAACTCCCGAGGCGTCCGGCACGGAAGCTACCAATTAGAAAAGGACAAGTCTCTGGAATTTAGTAAAGGCTGCATTCCTTTACGGACTGAAAAAATTAAATTCTTGAGGAATCGCCCTGTGACATCTGTTGTTCTGGAACCGACAAGATGCACACAGTGCCTCACTGTACATACTGTAAGTGTTAGAGAGTGCCGTATTACGATAGTATCTAGGAGAAGGGGAATATGAAAGCACACCACATGAAACTATGGAGAAGAAGAATTCTTTATGTTCTTCATTCCCTGATGATTTGCTAATTTTCCCCGATTTCCAACACTGAAAAAAATTACGGCCGTGGAAGCCGTACTTACGGGCTATATAGACATGTCGTACGCGTTCCGGGCTCAGAGGCCGAAAGTTCCGGGCGTAGCATCCGGAGCAGTCGAAGCTACGGCCCTAGAGCCCGGAACGGACGGTACGTCTATATAGCCCGTAACTTTTTTTTCAGTGAAGGAAAATTACTTCAGTGAAGAAACTCAAGGGTTTCTTTCATTCTCCTTTAAAGTTTCGAGGAGAAACCCAGAATTTTCCTCAGAGCTCGAAAAAAATTATCAATTTTATTTTGTGTTCAAAAGTAATATTAGTTTCCCTGTGAAAATAGGTGACTTTGTGGGTGAGCCAAAAATAGTAGTTCTGAATTTCTTGCAAAATTTTGGCCAATAGATACACTCATTCAACTTTGGAATGTATTTCCAGACATACATCGATTCATTAAATTGCTACGTATCCGAGTAGATTAAAAAGTTTGCTTTCATTGAGCAGGGAGAGTCATGGCAGGACGCACAGTTTCATGATGGTTTTATAAAAAGTTTTGGTGCTTTTTATAAAAAAAAAACCGAGTCTTATATATGCAAAAAAATAGTATTATCGGTCACGTAAACTTATTTTATGCTAAGAAAGACTACATATCGACGGTGAAACTACCAAACCACGTATCTCGTTTGCGGTGTTTAAAAATCTACGCTTGCATTTTATTTTTTTGAAGTAGACCAAATCAATATCATTCCTTGAAATTTTCACAGAATTTTCTCCGCACGAAGAGGAAAAATCACAGAAATTTTCAAGACTGGACGTTAAGTAGTTTTTCATTTAAAAAATAAAGTATGACAGGAAGTCTGCGACGTCGCAAACCGAGATACGTGGTTTGGTAGTTTCACCGTCGATATGTGCGAATGATTAAATGAAAAAGAACCGCGAAGCAAGTAAATCTCTGACACATTTTCATTGCGATTCCGCTCATTAGTACCTACAAACATGGTTCCTTTCAGCATGAATACACGCATATATTCAAGTAATAGTATGTTTCTGAGATTTTACGCATACCGAACAAATTGCTTATTTTATTGGCAAGTTAATTTTAAAAATATTTAAACTTGATTCCTATAACTGTTTCTTATATTTATTGCAATGAGCATTATCTGCAATTTCAGCCGACCCCAAAAAATGAAAGAGTGGACGCTTCTGAAAATAGGACAATCCTCTGCGTTTGGAATATCGCGGAGCCCTCTAAACCGACGAAACTCCTAACAACTCCTACCGACCTCTCATGTTGTGGCTTCAACTGGCCTCATCCACACCTCATTCAAGCCGGACTCAAGGAGGGGTAAGTGCACTGAAAAAAAAAATCTCGGTGTATTTACTGAGAAAAGGGTAAAATTACCGAGAATTCAGGGTTCTATTTGATCCCAGTTTTTTCTTGGTAAAATTACCATTTATGGAATTGGTAATTTTACCGAGAAATCTCGGTATAAAATTGTTGAACTTTCTCGGTAATTTTGCTGGACCTTGATAAAAACGCCAATATTTTTTATCGACTGTGGTAGAATTACCGAGATAAAATGGCAAAGTTACCGGGAATTGATTACCATTAAAAGTGGTATTCTTACCTGAAAAAACAGTAAAACTACCTGTTTTTAGGTAAGCTTACCAGTCTGTCTTGGTAAAATTACCAATAATTGGTAAAAAAAAGTGAGATGGTAAAGGTACCAACGGACCTTGGTAAAAACGCGGATAATTTTTTTTCAGTGTGGGCATGATCATTTTATTAGGCGGCTTCCACACGTGTAACTTCTGATTGCTGTGCGGCAAAATTTCAGAGTGTTGCTTTATGATTGTGACGCACGAATGATTGTAAAATGATTGAAGAATGTTTGGTTGGAATCGAATTTGGACAAAACGGCGTTTAAGAAAGTGCGTCTGTCACGTTTCGATACTTAAAAATGTAGGAAGTCATGTGCGAAACAAATGATCCTTGCAGGGGATGATTATGGGTCGCAGGTCATAGATTAAGAGGGTGCAGGTTGCACCCCCCTTTGACCAGGGTGCCGATTATTGCATGTTTAAAGCAGCCCGATAAGACATCGACATGCAGTATATTGCATGGTAAAGCTAGGGCTATGTCTTGTTTTATCGTACCAATTATCGGGCCGCAGACCGGTGGCATAACTCGTGCGATACCCGCAATTAGGCAACATTGGGTTTTGGCCATTTAAAAAAAGAAAACTAGCAACATTTTGTGAGACAGACGATCTTACAAAGAGTCAATGATAAATGTTGAATTCGAATAGAGGAAAACTAGTGTTGCCTGCTTCCAAAAATCGCTGGAGGGCACAGCTGCATTTGGTCAGCGTTAAACAGAGAGGCACCAAGTCAAATTTTGAGGGGGGAAATGTGTTGAGAGTCATTTCGAGCTTATATGATCGTAAATTTTCTCATAACAAAAGTTTTTAGTGAAAAAGCTATTTCAAATGTAAGAGAATGCGTTGAATTTTGTTTTTTAACTTTGAGTCTTTAGGAGGTAGCAAACTTTAAACCTGTTTTTCTAGGTTCGACTGCGATGCGATTCGGTTCCATTCCGTTGAAATAGGCACACGTTTCAACGATTTTTAGCAAAAAAAATGTAAAAAAAAGAAAAAAAAACGCGTTTAAAATGTAAAATACATCAAGTACTAGTATGATATATCCAAACTGCAAATGCTTAACTGACAAAAAGTTCATAACAGCGAAAAGAAAAGAATTGAGAAACAAGTTGGATTTTGCAATCGCTAGCGATGGCAATATTCGTCATGGGAACGTTAGCTTCTGGGATATGAAAATGTTAAGGTACAGTTCGTTTGTAGTATCTTCTGAATTGAAGGGGCTATGTAATTTTGTGTTGACATCTCTTTTTTAACATTTTCAATTATTTTCTTTGCATACAAGAAAGCTGTTATGTACCAATTATTTATTTTCGTTGGATTATTATATGGTTTTCGGAAGTTAACGCATTTAAGTTTCAGGTTCGCTTTTTCGGCGTAAAGTATACATAAGGTGTCCCAAAAGCACCGGGACTTGTTCTGTAACTTCGAAAATAAGATAGATACAGACATGATCTTGATTTCATTTTAAAGATCAACTCAATACCCATCGATTAAAACCAAAGTCAGCTCAATCGGATAAAAATTGACCGAGTTATGGCAATTTGAAATCAGCGAGGAAAGTTTACGCCTACGGTTTTTAAGGAGGATTCTTCATCGCCGTAAATCGAAAAGTCGGCCGATAAAGTGATGCTTATTGTGTTTTTTTATTTTCGAGGTGTCATTTATCAACATTTTGTACCATCAAACACAACAGTTGACAGTGCGTATTATTGCAAAGTACTAAAGGAGTTGAGAATGCACATTTCCCGGAAACGGTCGGACTTGAAAGCTTCGTGGATACTCCATCAAGACAATGCGCGGCCTCACACATCGAGCTCAACACGTGAATTTATGAGTAAAAATGGAGTTGAAACAATCCCTCATCCCCCTTATAGCCCTGACTTGGCTCCATGTGATTTTTGGATGTTTCCTACGCTTAAAAAGGAGCTTCGCGGACGAAGATTCGTATCGAAGACAAAAATCCAGAATGCAATTCAAAACTTCTTCAACTCCATCCCAGAGGAAGAATTCAGGAAAACAATGTTGGAGAAGTGGCAAGAGCGCATGAAAAAGTGCATCCGGTTTGATGGACGGTACTTTGAAAAGCAAAAGGAAGTTATGGAAGATTCGGAGGAAAGTGGATACGAATATTAACTTTTTGAATCCTGGTAAGCGAAAAATCTTCCTAAAAACCGTAGGGGTAAACTTTCCTCACTAATTTCAAATTGTCATAACTCGGTCAATTTTTATTCGATTGAGCTGATCTTGGTTTTAATCGATAGGTATTGAGTTGATCTTCAAAATGAGACCAAAATCATGTCTGTATCTATCTTACTTTTGAAGTTACAGAACCAGTCCCGGTACTTTTGGGACACCCTACGTTGATATTTTTACTCTACACATATGCCCGAATACGCATCATAAGGGACCTATGTGCTTCCTAAGTTGCCAAGTATTAATTATTGTTAGATGATTGGTCTAAAACATTCAATACAACCAGTAAAAATTAACTGTCGTCTACGAGATTCGAACCCCCGCTCGCAACAAAAAGGAGGTATATAAAGCGCTAACTTGGCGTCTCAAACATCCGGGCTATCTCGACGCTCATTCACGATTGGAGAAAAGATAACAGTTAAGTGATCTCGGACGCTGAGCGGGGCTTCACAAAAGACGACCTTGAGATTTCGGCAGTTCGGCCACTGGCGTCCTAAGAGACAACGGATTAACCGCATTACTCTGTGAGACATTGTTTACCTATGCTGTCATATGTTACAAGGTTCATCACAGGATGCATTTGCGATCGCGGCAGTAAGCTGAGGCAATATTTCTGTATTCATGGATTAAATCCATCAATCGAGTTCTGATTTTGGCTCATATATCCGTAACGGGTCCTCCAGAGCAATTTTCCACCTTGTACGATGGTTATTATTTCTTTATATCTATGTTTAAAATTTGAGGTGGGATAATGGCGGCTTCTCAAGAGCACCGAGGTAGGCGATCTTTTGCACCAACGAACAGAAAACTGATGGCGAAAAATAACCAATCGGAACCTCCCAAAAAAAAGAATTTGCCTAAAAACGGAACTTCGTGGTTCTGCGCAGATTTACCAGTCAGACACGACATCTCAAGGTGGAAAAAAACTCGCTGAAAGCGAATTTTAGCAATCAACACAACTTGACGTAGAGACATGATTGGCTAAAAAATACAACGGTTTTTGATACATCGGAAAATCAACCAAAAATCGGAGACTGGGCGAAACGCTCAAGGTCGCAGAGGTATAGGGAATCCCATAGCGAAAGCAACGGAACGATTCTAATATCATGGGGAACTCCGTTCCCATGACAATAATATCATGGGGAACTCCGTTCCCATGACAAAAAATTGAATGTAAACTCGGCAGAATGGGAGGCACGTGATACGGCGAGGCATAGACGTTTATTCTTTGCCGGACCTATATCCAATGAGCAAAGATGGGAAAACTACTTCGCGTAACTATTCATGCTCGTAAGTCGCTTAATTGCCATCACAGTTAATGAAGGCGAACTCAACAGATGAGAGGTACGTGATACGAAGAGGAATTGCGAGGAGACATGGCTTAGTGGCACCGACCACACTACTTTAACTTTATGTCCCTAATTGTTGGCAACAAATCAATAAAACAATTTCTGTTATTTCGTGTTTCAAAACAGATCAATTGCAGTTTGGGACACCAAAGAAGCAGCAGGGTTCCATCAAAGGGTGAACTCGGAAGATGAAAGCAGCGAATGGGTTTTAAGGGTTCCTTCATACATAACAGGTTTGTTTCAACACTTTTCACACAGTTATGCACAAATTCAGCAACCAATTTTGAAATACTGTAAGGGGTTTCACCGTTCCATTGCGAGAAAACGAGCTTTAACGTAGGAATTCGTGCGTTATCCCGAAATTCCTGCGAGTCAGGTTGATCAAGTGTTTTAGACGGTGAGATGATTTCGAGACGTGCTTGTTTTGAGCCGCGTGCGAAAGTTTCGGAAAATGACCGCGGTCGCGGTCTGCTTGTAGAAAAGCGGAGCTTATCGCGCGCTGCTTAAAAAAAGAATGTGCGCTTTTTTGTGGTCAGCCTTCAGTGTTCGTGCGAGAGGCTGACCCGGTCAACCCCTATCAGAGCAACCAGCCGATTGTTGAAATTGATAGACAAAGCGACAGACAAAGAAGACGTAGGAAGTATGGAGCGGTCATACTGGTTGAAATGGGTGGTCCCTATAGACTAATGGAGAAAATGATGGACTAACTATATGATCTATCGTGGGTTGCCGTTGGTTAGTCTACGCATTAAAATACGTCTATTTTCAATCTTTACTTCACGATTTTTCAGCTGCAAAGGTGAATGAAACAAATCATTTAGAGCCGATAGTTGGGTTAGAATCAATCAGGCATGAGCTGCAATCGACCGACAACGATCGATCTCCTTCACAGGTGAGAGTTCATAACAAGAAAGCTTCGGATGTTTGTTTTATAATTTAGTGAACGATGCTGCATGGAGATTCAAAATTGTTTCCTCATTTCTAGCATTAGAACAGTGCTCATAGACATAATATCACGCGACAAATAAACCAAAAACAAGCCGGTTTAGATCCCGCACCTGTCACGGAAGGTCGAATGTCATCATCTAGAATTTGGGTTATGAGGTACCACTTCAGCAACTAGCTCTACCCTCGTAGGACTAGCCACGAACCCAAGCAGGGTTGGTGACCAAGCCACCCAAAATCTACATGATGTCATTCTGGGACCCGGCCAGGGAGTGATTTGCCGTGAATGGACAGAAAAAAGTTCAACGTTTTAATCTTCAGTGAAGAGTTGTGACATTCAGATTGTTATTAAAGTCTACAAATGTGATATTCCACGAAAAAAGGGACCTTTTTGTCCACAAGGGGTCAAAACTGAGTTTCATATATAAACCAGAGCATAATTGTGTGTTTTACGAATATTTCAGGTCAAAAAACGCTTAGTATTGAATTGAGCCAGAGTAGTGGTGCTTTAAAGTTTGCAGTTCAAAAAACACAGTTTCTGGGAAAGCTGTTCAAAAATTCCAATTTTCCATAATCAGGAGACAATTATTGCATTACTGGGGGCCTGTGGCCGCTACGCGGCCACCAACCACTGCGAAAAACTACACGTAAAAAATTGTAGGACATCCATGTTCGAGTTATTTCAGAGGTGAATGGATTCAAAAGCCGACGCGACGGGTGCACGCGAAAGAAAGCGTATTTACCTCAGATTGCAACGTTATGCACCACTTTTTATGTCTATTTTTGAACACCGTTTATAAAAATCTACACACAGTTTTTCTGAAGAGCTCCCACAAATTTTCCTAGATGATCTCAAATTTAAGTATCGAACATTTCGATGCGATATTTGCGTTCATGTATTTTCCCTATAGTTGTGGTAGTAACCGGGCAGGGTCCGTCAAAAAAACTGACGCGCGGTCCTAGTTTTGCGGCGATTTTAGATCCGCATAAGCCAGGGAAGGGAGCGTGGTCGAGTGTCAAGTAATCTTCACAGTGTGACGCGCCTTCTATCAAGTTAGCAGGAATGTACCTATACCCGTGGTCGAATAACTCTCGCATTGCGTTTGGTGGAATGCGAGAAGTTTTCCTACAGCCTTGCAGGCACTGATATGAGTTAGACACCGACCGCACCGTGCCGCACCGTGTTCGACGCGATTATTCGCGTTAAGATAATCGCGGCATCTAACGATGCGGCTTTTAAGGCCCATATTGTGTTTTGACGCCGTATGAGCATTCCAACGTTGCCGCCTTTCTCCCGATAAAATATGTTTTTTTTTTAAAAGAAAAGTTAGGAAAGTCACTATGTTCGCTTTTTTAGATTGAATGGACCATTAAACAAGGTATGAATTTAAGCACTCTGATGTATGATTATCCACCAGAATTTCACGCAGAACACGATTCGCACAACGAAAACTATTTAAATCAACTTCCAGCTAAGATATTAACGTTTTTATTGTCTATTGGTTACCGGAATTTCGAATTGCTGCACGGACTGATTTTAGTTCCCTATTTTCCGGGTAGCAAACGTGCACTTGATTTTTTCACAGTGTTGTATTTGTTTTGTTTATTACTTAATAATCACAAAAGTCTATGGGCTATGTTTTGACTAGATATGCAGTTTGGACCAAAAAGGCTTGATTATTATTTGGACTCTAGTGCAGACGGGCCCTGCTTCAAAAAACCCTGACCAAGGTCAAGCTTACTGGAGTAAAATTAAACTCGTCAAGAGTAAAACTTTGCACGCGTTTGAGAACATTCCCTCGTAAGTAGAAAAATATCGTCGTTAACCTTGTTATTATATTCTTTGCAATCATATTATGTTATACATTATTTTGAACTTCCAGCTCATACGAATTGAGTAAAAGTACAATTTATAAAAGTCTCAGCAGTCTGAATGTCTGGCAAAAATTAATTTTAGAAATTTCTGACTCTTTATAGAATTTTTCTGACAAATTTTAGGAAAAAGTCCCGAAATTTTTCCTTGCTATAAATCTTAAATCAGCTTAAATCTTACTAAACGCAGAAGAAGAAAAGATTCTAAAACAATAAATAAAAAATAAATAACAGAAATAATACTCAAAATCCTTCCCGCAGAAGAAATTTTGTTTCATACTAGGTAACAATCAGCATAATAGCAAAAAAAGCAAAAAAGCAAAAAAGTCCGCTGATTGGCTACAATACAAATCGCGCGACAAAAGACCTATGAACCGAGGCATTTCAAGGGCTGGGAACAAAACAGTCGTGATATTAACATTTTTGGAATGAATCAAGTTATTCGAAGTCTCCATTTACTCGGAAGGAGCCTAGAGTGTGTGGAACAAAATCGGCAGTGATATTTAACACTAGATGCGAGATGAAAAACTTCAAAAATTGCAAATCACAGCGGAAGCTACGCGCACTACTCTAGTGTCATCTTTCGACGGAAAAAAAATTAGTTTACAATCGTTCTACTCAAGGCTACTAAGTGATTTCCAACAGTAGTAACAAGGCGTGAATGATCGACTATCAATATTTACTTCCCCATATGAAGCTGTGGTGAAGAATCGATTATTAAGGTGTTCGTTGCAAACACCCTTTTCATGGATCCTTTTCTATAGGTTTAAACGGCAGATAAATCGATCCATCGCAAAGCACGCCACGACGCCACTGATTTCTATCCGAAACTAATCCTCTCGTCTATGAAAATGCATTTTCGATCGTTCCATCGGTCGATTAAGGTGATTCGACGGTTGCCATTTTTTGTGTCAGAGCAACGTGCGATATATCGCATCGAATCGTTCCATAATTTCAGCTACTAATTATTTTTTCGAATTTTGAGATCGCACTTCTGTTGTCATCAGACTAAAGAATTCATTTAGCAAATTTGACGAATAAATTCAACGTAATGAAGGCATGGATTTTCCAGAGGAAAAATATCGCATTCGAGCTCAGTTTCGATATCAGTATCGAACGCGATATTTTTCCTATAAAAAAACCCTGTCTTTATTACGTTGAATTTCTTTGTCAAATGTGGTACATGAATTCTTGGGTCTCGTGACAACAGAAGTGCGATCTCAAAAATCGAAAAAATTGACAAGTAGCTGAAGTGGCTGAAATTCTGGAACGAATTGATGCGATATATCGCACGCCGCTCTGACACAAAAATGGCAACCGTCGAATTCCCTGACCACTGCTGAAACCAGCGATTACTGCTTCGCGACGCAACTTATGTGTGCTAACAATTAAATGCAGAGGAAGCTAAAATGTACACGGCGCAGCGGAAACAATCGACTTGATTCGCTGGGTAAATGTATACTGACACTACTCAAAAAATTTTGAGAAACCGAAGAAGCAATCTGCGTGATAGAGATGTTGCCGCGTATGTGCCAAAATTACTGCATTTATCGAAGAAAAGAAAAATTTAGGGCAATGAGCTTGCTTCTGAAGCAAGCCAAAGAAGTCCACCCTCCTTCATAAACGGCACGAGTAGACCGCGTTTAGCAGAAAGGTACCAAGCCACATCAGCTTTTGCCATGTTTAATTATGCACAAATTTTGCGCATTAAAATTGTAATTGCAATTTGAATTTGTACAACAATTCGCACTATGACAATAGCTGATGTGGCATGGTCCTTTTCTGCTTAACGTGAACCCAGTGTTAGGGGTCGTTCGCAAGATAAGGGTTCACGAAAACATTAATTGTAACTTAACATGCTGATAATAGAGAGTTAAAGTGGGCTCTACATACAAGTTTTCGCAATTGTAAGAAAAAGCTATTTTGATACTGTTCTTTTCCATGCTCAGAGTAAAGAATTAGGATCATGAAATGCAATTTTACGATTTATATTTTCGCACAAAAATGAACTGAGCGCGCTTGCAACATATTTTTTTAGGATACTAAAGAAAGTTGGAGGCAGCATTTTCCAACTTGAGCGATCGGTTAGACTAAGAAACGTAAAACCTTCTTTGAACAATTTCAGATCTCTGATGGATGATCGTTCAGCCACGTCTCTCACGCTGCAGGATCAGCACGTGTTCGTAACGACGAACACGGCTCAAATTGTGCGAAAAAGTTTCGCGAGCGGGTCTTCCAATAGAATGGCATACCGGTCACATACTGGTAAGATCCCAAAAGAAATACACACTCAAATTGTTTTTGGCGCCACTGCTTTTCTCTGAAATCAACTCCCAGGCTCAAAAAAAGCTCTCAACTTGAGGCCAAGATGGAGGGGACATCCCACGCTATCCTGAGAGTCAACCTCTACATCAAGACAAACTCTCCATGCAAAGATAGGGAGCAAAATCATTAGCAGTGATGCCGTGTTTTCAGTTTTGGAGTCCCCTAATAAAGTGGCAGCCCTGTCAATGTATTTGCTCCCTATCTTTGCATGGAGAGTTTGTCTTGATGTACTTAGAGGTGGACTCTCAGGATAGCGTGGGGTGTCCCCTCCATTTTGCCCTCAACTTGAGAGCTTTTTTTGAGTTTGGGAGTTGATTTCAGAGAAAACCAGTGGCACCATCGTGTTTCTCGCGAACTTTTACGTAAGAATCAACAATCAAATCGCAAATTTCTCACACATGCAACATCTCCATTATGTTTGCCCTCATTTTCACGAAGATAGAATTTTACGCGTCAAAACAGTCGCGTCTCCAGTAATAAACCATTTCTCTTAGCGTTTCTGTGACTCTGTAAATTCGAGCCTAATAATGTAGGCGTCGATCGGTAGGAGCAAAACCATCCCGACGCTATTCGTGATAATGAGGATGAACCACACTCAGTTGTTCATAATGCTCATTAAAGACCAGCTTTGCGAGGCGAAATGCTGTTTGCCTTCATTTTCATGGATAGGCAAAAACAGCTCCTCAGCGTCGAAATAGTCGCATCTTCATGGATGGACTAGCTATTCTTTGCGTTCTCCTTTGAACGTAAGAGAGCTATGTTTAACTTAGTTGGTGTTTCCCGGCATACTACATATATGTCGACAAATTGCTTTTATATTTCAATTAAAAAAGTACACATTTCAGACTCATGTAATAGCCTCCCTAGCACAAAATCTTCTCGGACGTTATTTTAAATTTTCTTCCCTTAGAGACATACCTGGAAAATGAGGTGAGAAAAGAACACCCAATGGATTTCAATTGAAGCTAAATAGCTTTATAGTACCTACATTGTTTTTCTTTCATACTACATTATTAATACGTTCATATTTTTCAGATGAGTTTACTGGTATTGAAAGTGTTAAAATCTGTCCATTTGAAGGAAACTATTTCCTGGTGAGTAATTTATTTTTATCTAGACCTTGTGATCAACTGAGATCAGTTTGTATCTTCTAAGCATTCGGAAAGTCCTCTACATCCTTTGGTTTTAGATCGTGTCAAAACCCCCAATGGCTAAATTAGTTTACCGCAATGGATCTTATTTATACACAGCTTTGTTGGGAAAAAGAGGGGGTAGGGGGAAGAGAACATTAGTTGATGATGATGGTGCAGGAATGACCTATTCATTTGAGAGTTTCAGAGAAAAGACTTCTCCGATTCATTTGGGTTCATAATAATATATCTGGATCCAAGACAGCTGATTTTCCAAACTATTTCATACAACAGCAGTCAGCATCACATTATCAACAATACGACATTATGAAAGCATCTGCACCTCTCAAGTTTCCAAAGTATCAGAACACAAAAGCTCTGAAAATATTTTAGAAAAAATCTCAAAACAATGTTAATTTTTGGGTGAAATTTTTTTGGACGCTCTGTTGCCTATACAGGTACACCAAATATTTTGTTGATGCATAGCCTCATTCTCACTCCATAATTTTACAGGCTGGCTGTGAAAATGGAGGAATACAACTTTACTTCCAAAAACGCTGTACTCCTCTCATCTGCTTTTTTGGTGCGATAGAAACAAATGGATCAGGAATCAAAAGCATACATTGGTCAAATTTGAAACCTGGAGTATTTTTCGTCCTGGACAGCAACTCAAGGTAACATTTCGATCCAGGCACTGTTAATCTTCATACTTCAAAAAATGCTTAAAATGATTAAAATAAAAACGCATATCACCCATTGTAACACTTCAAAATCTTTCCCAGTATTTTATTTTCTCTAGAGGGAACCAACCAAAATATTTCCTTGAAATTATCAGTGAATTCCTTTGCCGTGCAGAAAATTTTCAGAAATTATCAAGGAGGACTCCAAGCTTGATTTTTTTTAAAACGAACTGGAAGATGCGCCAAGATTTGCAACGTCGCCAACATATAGATTCATATTTTTCAATCACAGCTTTCTGTACATAACAGAGGTGATATTATCTTTAAATACTTCGTTCGGACCAGAACTCTCACAGATTTCTCTTTAAGAGAAAGTAAACACAAGTTTCATGTAGGTTCGCTTATTTTAATCTTATAGTCATCCAGAAATTGTTGCTTTGTGATTTTGAATGAAAAAACCTTGGTTTAAATATTTTCCAAGTATTGACTCAAATCATTATATTATTTTCTTTCCAGTATCCACCTATGGGATTTGTGTTCCAGCGACATGCACCCATATCTAAGTATTCCTTTCCCGGACCGGAGGATTACTAGCATCAGCACTGCCTCTGATGATTTCCATGCAGCCTTTCTAGTAAGTAAATTTTTCATTAGAGATGTATCTGTTAAGCAATACTATAGTTGTCAAAAATTATTAAAATGCACGTTCTAATCCCCTGAAATTATACCAAATCAAATGACACTATTAGCTGAGGAAAGACATGTATGTAATTTTGAAAATTTTCCATTGAGCAGAAATTTCTCAGTTTTCTCAATCTTTCTCAAATCTCTTCAGTTTTCAATTTTCCGAAGAACTTTAGCATGGAATTACCGGTTATACCCAGTCACCATATGACTAAATTTAAGTGAATTCCGCCAATGACATAGATAGATTATATTTCTAAAAGCTTCAAGTATTTAGTTTTGCATTATGCCTCGTTATGACCAATTCTGGCTTAACTATTTTTGTTTCAGGCATTTTCAACAATGGACGGGGTGGTGGAATTACATCAACTGAAAGAGGAATGGACCGGTTCCGACAAACAAAGATTTGAAAGAGATTTAGAAAAATTTACATGTTATTTGAATGTTTTACTGTGATAGAATGAATAAATAAAAAAATAAAAACTCAACCACCTTGTTACAACTTTACTTACTTTTGAAGTAACTTTACTTTTGTGGCAGAGCTAGCACCGCCAAGACAAAGGATATCTCTGACCTCAAAATTCAGACATGGAAACGAGTACATGATTAGATCTCATGGCTGTGGCCTTTTGGGGGAAACCTAAAAATTTAAAGTTTTCAGCACTGGCTCCAAGTCGGCTTACTCATTTTGGATGAAAAACTTCCAAATATCATATCTGCAGCAAAGAGTAGAGAAAATGAGAGGGGAGAAAGAGATATCATAAAAAAACTCATTTAGATTCACAGTGTCCAGACCTAAAAATCTTGAAGGTGCAGCCTTAGGATTGATTTACAAAAGAAGAATAAACAACCTCCTTTTAGCAGATGCACAAAAATAGTCACTTAGTGATATTAACTTAAGTTAGCTGTATATTACATTTGAAAATTAATCCCAGGTTCATCGTGGTCGCTTAATTTTATTTTTACGTTAAGTAGTTATGAAGAAATAACAATTCTGAACATTAACAATTACATAACAGGTGTATATTTTCACAAGTGCACAGCTATGCCTTAACAAAAGATGCCAATTCTATTTCTTTCTAATTAAGAACAATTTACGCACCATTACAAACAAAAGTGGATTATGCATCTTCAAACATGGACAAACACCGGTTTCTTCATGATTAATATAGCCATGGAAACAAACTTAAACAAATTAAAGTTAATAGTATCACAGATGGTTTAATTTACAAGCACACATGTTACCCAGCTTGCCTATTTGCTCCAGACGCTTGTTGATTCATAAGCTGCCAGTACACACCTTTCTTCTTTACCAGCATTTCATGGTCACCCATCTAAAAACAGAATAAAATTCACTTGAGCAACCATATTCTGAATAATTACCATTTTTGAGTTAAATATGAACCCTTCTTTACTCGGAGAAATTGCTAAAATTCAATTTTAAAGTTTAAATCATTTCTCTAATTTGAGTGATTTTTGGGAGGAAGAAAAAGGTAAAAGCTGTGTAGATCTGTTTAAAAATACAGGGCTGCAGAGAGTTCTTTGCCTTTACACTTTTTGAGGCTGCCTTCACATTGCTGTCTCGTTGCGATGCAAGCTTCCCTATTTTTTTTCGCATAATTGAGCACAATTCCGTTTCCTTTGCATAAAAAAGCATGTTACAGTTTCCTTCGCCAAAAGTATTGCGCTCAGTAGTTTTTTTCTCAAAACATAAGTAACATAATGCATTTAATGGTTCCCTTCACAAAATTGCCTTCTGCCTTCACATTTTTCCCCCTTTACAGTTGCCTTCACATTTCTCTTGTAATGGGTCAGTTGCACTGATCACAAGATTGTGTTTTAATGCTCGATCAGCTAAAAATAATAAGATCTGTCCAAACCGCAACTTTCTACATGTTAACCGAGATATCTCCCTTTAAAAAGTCGGGTTTTTAACGTCATCTACCGCATTGGTGACACCCGTGGTTTCTTCCACCTTGCTTTCATCGGTCAGAGATGTACTAGTTACTCAACATGAAACTTGGATGAGAGCAAGGTGGAAGGAACCAAGGATGTGACTACCGCGGTGGATGACGTAAAAAACCCAGCTTTTCAATGGGCGATATCTAAATATTGAACGTAGAAAGTTGCGGTTTGGACAGATCTTATTATTTTTAGCCAATCTACAAGAATTAAGCATCAAAACGTGATTCTATGACTAGCGCAACTGACCCATTGGCAAATTAAGCACACTATGCACTTCTACAAAAATATGTAGGATCCTACAGAATTCTAAACAAATTCAGAGACAATGCTGATCATATGTTCTCATGGATCTGATTTACTAGTTTTCAAACCTATCAAACATATGTACTTACCTCAGCTATCATTCCATTTTGTAAGACAATTATGATGTCTGCATTTTTGATAGTGCTTAATCGATGAGCGATTACAACTACAGTTCTACCTCGACAGACTTGCTCTAATGCTTTTTGGACAATTTTTTCAGATTCACTATCCAAAGCGCTGAAAAAGAGAAATAATGAGATATAAAGTAAATACAGAATTTTGTACAAAAATCTGACAAACAAACATCTGTGAATTTTTGGGTATACTTCTCCATGAGACCAAAAACCAAAATTAGAGCTCTTTCTTTCACCGTTCAAAAGTTATTGTAAAAAGCACTTATTTTCGAATCATAATAGTAAATGAAGAAAATGGCAATACAAATTTTCGCAATTGAACAACTCTTGAGAAAAAGTTCACTGTGCTCTAACAGAATATTTTAGAAGGCTAAGATTTGATTCATGAACTCCAAATTACTTCAAGTATAATTTCCTTGGAAGAATTTGTAAAAAAAAACAAGATCCTGAAAATGGTGGTAGAGTCTTAAAACTTTTGTGCGCCCCTAATACTTAACTGCAAGCTTGAAAGACTAACCTTGTAGCTTCATCCAAAATTAAAATTGAGGGATTCTTCAAAAGAGCTCTTGCGATGGCTATTCGTTGTTTCTGTCCACCAGAGACAGCTACACCTCTTTCACCAACAACTGTGTCATATCCTTCGGGAAATGAACGAATGAATGAGTCAGCATTTGCTAATTTAGCTGCCTCGTACACCTGAAAATAAACATAACTTTAAAACATCAGTCACAAACCTAAAACACCTATTTTTTAGGGCATAAAAAGGCAATAAAATAAATAAGAAGTAAATTTAGCTCTGGAAACGTATTTCTCACTTGTAAAACATTTTTTTAATCGACTTGATGAGTTTCTGTTCTTGATAGAGATAACTCACCAATTCTGAAGACAAAAGATACAATTTTCATAGGTACACAGCATTTACAAAAATACTTTTTATGATACGATGAAGTCTTGTAATAATAACAAATTATGAAAGATTGAAATGGTTAACCACAAATAAAATGGGTGTATGAGTTGGTTTGAATCTAGGAGACTCCTTAAAATAAACAAAAGCAAGTTGGTTGTCATAAGCTGAATAAAAAAATCACTGAATGAGCTTTTTATAAGCAAAGGAAGGATACTCCAATTTTTTCACCACCCTTTAGGATAACACAATTTATGTAAATGAATGCATTTTAAATATTCTACCAACAGCGTGAATTTAGAAAGCCAATTTACAGCAAAAAAATGTCACTCTGACACAATAATATCCTTACCCAAGATGCAAAAAGCAAGTTAGCCATTCATAATCTATGTAGTGCATTTGTGCAAAATGTGGATTGTAAAGTATGTTAGTTAATTCCCTCCTCCCCTTTGTCACGGATATTTTACAGAATACTTAATGCTTTCTTAAGATTATGTAACACTAATTACTTCTCCACCATCAATGTCCGCTTGCTCTTCTGCCTGAAGTAGCTTCTCCCGAAAAAAGATGCGTGTTGGGTTCAAAATAACTTCTGTTAGGATACACTCCACTGCAATTTTTGGTCTATCATTCTCCTTGAAAGGAATTATGTTCATTTGAACATGTAGTTTAAAAACACGCCATTTCATTATTTTTAAAAAAGACCCTTTGGACTAATCCAGTGTAAAGCATATTATTTGCTGTTTCTTACATCTGCAAGAAAGAAACATTTGTAGTTCAGATTTTTTGTCAGAACGAGGTGATCAAGGAAACTGGTTCATAGGTAAAAAGGTTGAGAATAGACTTTCAGAAAACAAGAAACGGCGTGTTTTTGAAGTCCATAATTTGATTAAGAATTGCCCATTGAAGAAACCCAAGTTAATAAGATTACAAGGTAGATAGAATGAACAAGTACCAAACAGACTTAAGTGCATATTAAAAATCTAATTCAACTTGTAATGAAATAAAAGTAAGAAAAGTTGATTGACTTACGTGATCACAGTATCTAATAGGAGTTACTATTTCTCTTGTCTTTGAGGGAAATCCATTCTCCAAGAATTTCTATTCTCATAGCAGAAGGTGAAATCACATGCCACGAATGGGAAGACAAAAACACTCAACACTAACAAAAGTACCAATAAAAACCGGAAAAGTTGGAAAAAAAAAAGTTAGACGCATTAATGAGAGAAGTCTGTGCTCTTATACAAAATATGTACAAAAAACTTATGGTCATGAAAATAGCGATGTGCTTGAGAAGAAAACCAAACAAAAAAGCAAGTGAATAAGTAAAAGAATGGTGAGCCGATAGCAGAATAAAACTGACAGAAAATTTAGCATTGTGAGCAGGCCTTCAAAGCTTTTCTAACACCGAAATAAAAAATGTTACAACTTACCTCCTGATCCGTAGCATCCCATTTGCTGAATCGAATATTTTCTTTCACAGTTCCCGCGAACAAGGTTGGTTCTTGATTGATGATACCAATTACATTTCCTCTCAGCCAGCTGGCATCAAGAGTTCTGAGATCATGACCGTTCAGTTTGATAGAGCCTTCTTGGACATCGTAAAACCTTGAATGAATCGAATTCATTAGTTTTTTTGAGAGGTGAATCATTGAGAATTTTGACCATCCACAGAAAAAGTGATCTTAACGATAAACGAAAATAACTTAAAATTGAGATTTTGGTGTCAGTGCGTGGAGAAAACTTTTTTTAACCGACGTTTTGGGTGAAAAAAAAACAAGCAGTGAACTCCAACACAATAAGTTGATAAGGCGCGTCATTAACTCGCACATATCAACCCCTTTAGTTTTCATTTACAGAGATTTCAAAACAGGCAAGCAGCACAACAAGAGAATTCACGATCCAACACTGCAAGGTCAACAACGCACCTTGACGAGTACTGTGAATCTAGAAAGCTATTAAGCGAAGAAAGGAAAAATTCTGTCGAACTCCTAGAAGATAAAGTCGATTTAAAGGTATTTTGGGGCTAAAATACCCAAATCACCGGTATTATAAATCCCGTTATATTATTGAAAAGAAATTGACTCAATATAAATGCAATTGTATTAAATATGTCTTGATTTTGTTATTTTAAACGTCTTTTCATGCAAAGAAGCTCAACCATGTCCATGCTTTATTCATTCATGAATTGAAAGTAAGCAATCCACATCCCGAAAATCTACCGATTTGCCGTAAAAAATCGCAGAAACTTGATATACCAGGTCGATGTACCCACTCTTTGAATTTACCAATCAATTTAGTGAGTGCACGTATGTGAAAGTCAAAATGCTATAGTCATTTTGGGTGCATTCATTTTTCATGAAACAATTGTAATTAATTTCAATCCCGAAAAACCATAAATTTTCCATATAAAATCGAAAAAATCAAAATATGTCGACTCCCTGACGTGAAAATTAAATTCTACGTGTGAAAATACTTATGTATCGATATGCTGAACAGAATGCCCGCCTCTCCTCGTAATTTACAAACCATTCCTATACTCACCTCAAAATTTTTCTCAGAGCTTTGTGTTATTATCAGCTTCCATTTAAACCCTGGTTTGATGGCCGAATCGGCTGCCCAAAAAGCAAGCCATTTTTGAAGGGCTCTATGAGAAATTCGTGATATTATCAGCTCTCAGGAAATCACCCCATGGGTAAAATTGCTGGTATAAATTTTCGAGTGCTTAAAATAATCGTATTCAAGAAACTAAGGCATTAAACTATGGAGTCAATTTCGTTTTAATAATATAACGGGATTGACTTGTCTTCAGGTCAAAACTCATACAAGGAAGCCCCTTGCAAGAGGCTAATTTTTTGTAATTTCACTCAATTTTTTCTCCTTTTTATAATTGAATTGCTTGTCACATTCTGAGGTCAATCATATTAAATTGTAATGTATACATTTCTTTTTTTCCCCCTTCATTTTATTTTTTGTTTGGAGAAGTTTTGTTGATTTCTTCGGATTTCGAATACTGTAACTTCTCTTCTATTTGGCCGATTTTTATGAGTGAGACCTCTTTTAATTCGTGTTTTAGCGGAGAGTAAGGAAAAAATTGCTAAAAACTCGCGAAACAATTTTTTTTGAAAATTGGACGAATCCTAGCGTGACGGTGAAATGGTTAATGAAGCGTAAGTAATTGGGCGAGGGGTTGAGGATCCCGGCCTCGCTTGGCGACCGTCATTAGCTATTGTTCGTCGAGACGCCGACGCAGTGATCAGGAGCGTGGGGAAGAGAGGGGTAAGTGGATTCCTGTATGAGCCACGTTTAGCTAATGGTCTAATGAGTCTCGAGGCTCATCACAGATTGCACTATCAGAGCACGAGTACCAACTTTTGAAAAGTATAACCGAGGTTACAGATCTGTCAAAGCAACGTTTTGAACAAAACGGAGGAGTTAAATTCTCATTCCCAGGGTGCCGACCTGCTCAGCCATCCTCGAATCAGTTCGCTTGATTCTGCTTATATATGCATATTTTAAATCAGCGCGTCGCATTCTTAGGCTTTTTTTAAAAAAACCAAGTAACGTAGACTCTTGGTATTCACTGCACATAAACTAGAGACCCCCAGAATGAGAAACAACTTTAAATCATAATTATTGATGGATAAATAAACTTTTTACACGCTTTGGAAAATCTCAGAAGTTCGCGGTAGTCACTTTTCGGTAAGGAACTAAGGGACTCGGTTATTGTATCGAGCAGGGTTCGAAACGATCGCAAAGGCGGTATACTACGTATACGCGCCAAAAAAAATTGAGCCTAACCTAACGGAGCATAACAGTTGAAAATTTGCAATTGAGGACCTCTTTGTATGAAGAGCATATGAGGCATGCAATGCTGCTAAGACTGCGTCGTTACTTTTCATAGCTTTGGCAGCAAATGAAATTCACTTACATTCGACTTACTTCCACACAATAGTGAGGAAAAATTTGGAGGAGATTCAGGGAAAAATTCATGGCAGAGCTTTTGAATAGGTTACTTGTAATTAAAGAACTACATTGCACAATCTTGGCAAAACATTGTGGAAGCTACGTACAATTACATTTACCTTTCTAGTAAATTGACTATGGTGGATTTTCCATTCCCAGATGTTCCAACAATTGCGACAGTTTGCCCGCAGGGTATATGCAGACAGAAATCTTTCAGAATGACCTGGAAATTAGTAAATGGAAAGCTTTATAGAAAAGTTGATGGATAACTACGACTCAAAAGAGGAATTTAAAATTAGAGGCAATCAGAAAAATGCATAACATGGTACTGAAAAATGGAATTAACTTAACCCCCACGAAACTCAGCAGATGCAGGTTGCTTGCAATAAAAATGAGGGCTTAATTCAGGAGATAAATGAATGTCTCTTAAGCTTTTAAACTTTAGACTCACCTCCTGGTTTTGCTTTATTTTTGTTTTCCATTCAATGTCCGATTTTTTTTACCTCATTTTCCTTGTTTGCCTGATGAGTTGAGAAATGCCTGTCGAAAAAAACTTAATCAACTATGGCCACTTCAGCTAATTAGCTGAATTTAGCTTTGTGTAGAATTTCTTTGATAGTAAATTAAGTGCTTTTTGACAAACATTTCTTGATGCATCAGAAGGATAAAGAAGACAGATTAAATGGACATGCAGCTGGATAAAGAAATTCACAGCATAAATTCCGGAATGTTTCCGATTCTTCTTATAGTATTGCTTGAAATAATTGAGACTTGGCTTCAATGATAAAACAGAGGCGTTTCTAATCATGAGATGCAACAAGGAAAAGCTTTCCTTACGTGATTCATACCTGATCAGGTCGAGTTGGGTAAGCAAACGTTACATGATCGAACTCAACCTCTGGTTTCAAAGAATGGTATGGTATCTTAATGCCGCCACTCAGAGGCATCTTGCTCGGTAAATTGATCAGCTGAAAAAAAATAAAAACGAATTTTTCAGTAATTGACGTCACATTTAGTCGTTCCGAGTTGGCAAGGGTCCTCAAAGGTCTGGAGATTTGATTCTATGAATATAAAATTTTCCCAGAAGATGAAGATACTTTGGGTTGACAGAGATAGTTGATCAGGAAGCCAGCTTCACAAATAAAAAAAGGTAGGTAACATCTCTAAGAGGAGGAGTGGGGTGGTCAAATAGTTTTAAATTTGGAAATCTATAACTCTTTTAGGTTTTCCTCACTAGTTTTAAGATCAAATTCTTTGACTTTCAGGAAGGTATAATGTGCTGAATAATAATTTAAGGCTTTTCTGATCCAACATTCAATATTTTCTGGCTAGCTATCCCCTATTATCCCTGACTGCGTTGACCTTGCTTTCTTTGATCAGTATTAGCTTACTTTACTTCCTCCAAAGCATTTAGGTCTTTACCAAGATCCTACATCCTCCCCTTAGAAAGATGAATCATCATTTCATCAGTTTCAAAAATCAAATACTGATTCATTGTATGTGTCATAATTTGTTCCATGCAAGCATCTCGAAAAAAAAGTTCTCCTTGATAAATCTTGGACTTTTTATAAATTTATATCAAACAAATAGAACTCGATAGAAAATTTGCTATCAGTGCTTGAAAAGCGTCTTAACGTACCTCAAATACACGGGAACCAGCTGAAAGACCTTTCACAAAATGTCCGGTGAGTAATGAGATTTGAGCAAGGGATCGTTGAATTGTTTGAGTGGCCACCAAAAAAGCCATCAAATCGCCAGCAGAAAGGTATCCAGTTGCCATGAGGTGACCTCCTGCACACAGCGTTCCAAGGACAAGTCCATTTAAAAATAAATTTGAGCCTCCCTGTAATGCAATTAGATTAATTTATCTGACGAATAAATAGCAAGAGGAAGGGAAGTTATTATGAGGGTAAAATTAATGATATGGAATTTTTAAATTCATTTCGAGGAAGATTTTTGAGTCTATAACGAGCCATTTTCAGTTTTTTGCATGCTTGCATTGATATCCAACTTCTCAGTCAGTTTTCCTGTAAATTCTCTAACTTCCTCGTTTTTTAAGATCCACATAGATGGTCAAATTCAAGTTTGTTAGACTCAGCGACACAACAGATATGAGTGCCATAAAAAGAATAATATAAATATCACCTACCTGGAATAATCCTATGCCGAGTCCTAAACGAATCTGTAGATCGGCAACTTCTTGTAATTTTTCGTCATATAACTTGCATTCTTGGGATTCCATGGCAAATGCTCGTACTGTCCTAATATTAGTGATAGCTTCTTCACTCAAAGTTGTTACTTCGGCTGACTGTAAAAAAAAAAAAAAGGTGAAGAGAACAGATTATAGACAAGGTTTGAACTCAATAATACTTCAAACGTTTTTCCCCAAACATTTTAACTTAACAATATGAGCAATTGGAAGTCTGGAAATCAACTCCTTCATTAACAAGTATTTCTTACACGGATCAAATGGAAGTCATATTATACGATAATGTCATATGTATATTTGTCCTTTAACCAATGTTAACTTTAACACTTATATTTGCCCTTTAACCGATACACTTAAAGCTTATTTAAGAGTTGATTTTCAGACTTCCCATCATATTTTCTCGTAAAATTTTGAAGAGCAAACAGGTTACCGGGTGCTTTAATTCATGCCATGTCCAAAAGCCCATTGGTAAGTAATCAATCTGTAACATGCCTCCATCATCGATTTCATAGATGTATTGGTAGGTTGAATTTTCAACAGGTAACATACCAGTAATTGTTTCACCTTGTTTCTAGGGTATAATTTTTTGGTTTCCTTTTTGTATGTGTGCATAGCTGGCTTAATAATAGGAAAAAATAAAATTATACAAAAACACACTCACTCACCTTCTGTTGAGCATGCAAAGACAGGCCTCGTAATAAAGCCCCAACCGCAGTTCCCATGAAAATAACAGTTGGCAAGAGAATGATCATCGAAGATGCTAGAAATGGAGAAAGGTAGAACAATGAAATAACGCAGCCGACAACCTATCAAAAATAACAAAGCGCAATTAGATGAAAAGCAACCATCAGAGAAAAATTGAAATCTTTAGTCATTTGTGGGTTGATTGTTGAACTTCCATTAAAAGCTTAAAAAACATGTTAGACCAGAGCTTTATTGATTTTGATTACAGAGATGGAATGTCAGCCTTTTAAAAGTTTTTGAATAAACTTTAAGAAAACAAAATTTCAGTGTAAACAGTTAATATTGGTCAGAGGGCGAAAATGCGCATGACCTCACATCGACAGTGACACTTCCAAACCACGTATCTCAGTTTGCAACATTACAGACTTCCAATCATACTTTATTCAAGAATAAAGATCTAAATGTGAAACCACTCATCTTCAACTCTTAAAATCTTCAGTAATTTTTCCTCTCGAGTGAAGAATGATCCGTCAAAATTTCAAGGAATCATGTTGAGTCGTTTTTTCATAAAAAAAATAACAAGGGGCAGAGATTTTGAAACACGGCAAATAAGATACATGGTATGGGAGTTTCACCATCTATACGTTATCATGTGACTTCCATTTGTCTTGTATTAAAAATACTCGTTCGGGAATTAATTTCCAAACTTTTTCCTGAATGAAGCGTTTTCTGTGTAAAATTTTAGATAAAAACATTTTTCTTCATACTTCCAACTCGTTTTCTAGCTCAGACCTTTTTTAGTGGCCTAACGGTAAAATTCTTGCCGGCGGAAAATTAGTTCTCTGAAGTTATTCATTTAAGGAAGCTTTGATTTTTTTTCCAGCCAGTGTTCAATAAAATCCCACGATTTATTTCTGTAATATAAATCAATTTTGCTCCCTGTAAAAATGTGACTCTGATGTAGAAACTATTGCTGCTTAGAATGTCACTTCCTTTTTTTTTTTTTTTTTTAGAAGAAAATTTGGAAAGTAAATCCTGTTATTTAGTTAGTACCTGCGTAGAGCTTCGTAACCCTTGCGACACACACATTTTGAATGCACTTTTGAAATCTTGAACATCTGTTGTCAATCTAGAAAAAAAATTAAAAAAAAAAAAATTTGAGTTCACATTTACCCTAACATATTTTTTGCTTTATTCAAGATGATAAGTAAGAAATACAACCATCTCTTTTTCCTCACTCCTTGCAGGACTTGTAACACCTTTGCAGAGAGGAAAACAAATTTGACTGCAAGTCTGAGGAAAGGAAAGCGAAAAGTTGAAAGTGAATAATTTGAGCAGAAGTATGCAAAGCCTCCATGATATGCTTTTAACCAGTTCATGAGAGTTGCATCATAGTAAAAAGTGTTTCTAAAGGATCATGATACCTGTTATAAAGTCGACAAAAAGAAAGTGAGAGAGAGGGATCAACTTTTTAAACTAAAGCTTCCTCTCATCTATGCAAAATAAAATGGTGATTTCATTACATTGTAAAGAAAAAGATCATCCTTCTTATTAGGTTAAACTTAAACATTAATATTTCTGCAAATTGGGTTGACTTAAATCTAGGGATATGTTGAACAACAACTAAAAATTAACCATACGTCGCATTAATATCAAGGCTAAAGCTAGAGATGCTTTTATGAAGGCTTGTCCTAAGATCATATTAATTGAAATATGAATAATTATGACATTCATTTCTCAAACTTCGTGACTGCTTAAAATTAATTTCTTTCAGTTTTAGTAAACCACTTAAAACTTACCGATCCATTAATTCGCCAGTGCGTCTTCTATCAAAAAATTCAAGATCCTGTTTCAAAATGGACTGAAATAGAAGAGATTTCATTTGCCCAGCAACCCTCTCTCCAACACCAGCTAAGAGATAAATGTAGGCGAATGTGAAGATCGACTGAAAAAATGGACATACGTTCATTTATACAACTTTATCTGCTACACTGATTCGGGCATCTTCCATCCAACAATGATGGAATTAACAAGACACATCATTGAAACTTTTGCAAATCGGAGATGAAGCTAACCATTTTTATCTCCAATACAGAGGATGAAATTATCTACAAAGTTATTCAAAAGGATCTAGTTATGTCTGTAATATTGGAAACGGAGACTTGATATGATGATAGGTTTCGGTTGTTTTCACTAGGTATCCTGTTGGATTGAACCATTAAAAATCATTCCATAACATTTGCAATTGACTTAAGTATAGGTTCAAACCTATTCTGTTTTTGGAAATCTATAAATTTCTGGCTCATTCCTCCTCTCCTCTGTCAGATTTGGACTTTTAAAAGAATTGAAGCCTCCAGTATTGCTGCGATTAAATCGTAACTGAAGTAAAAAAGGTGAGTGACATTATTAAGAAATTGAGCTATGGGTGATTTTGGACAAACATTGTATTGAAGTAAGCTTAGCTCGAAAATTTAACTTCAAATAGATACTTAATTTTCAGGCCTGCATTACCAGTTTCAGTTTTTAATCAGCCATTAGACTAGATGTAATTTTTTAACTTTTGACTTGTTCTTCTAGAAGTCAAAAACATTTCGCAGGGTGAAACGCTTTCTTAAATTACAAGATTCCCTGACTTTCTCATGACTTTTCAGATTATTTTTTTATTTTTTTTTTTTTTGCATAATTTCTCAAACAAATGCCTCCCACAATTGTTTGAAGTCTCTGGAAAATGAAAAAAATGAGATGTATTAGCCTGCAGAGAGATTTCAAGGTTTTTCAGCAAAATTCATTGACTTTTTTCTGGCTTCTTCAGGGTTTCATTAGCTTTTCAATAGCTTGTCACACTGTTTTACCTCACTCCTCTCTCATCAGAGGCTTCAATTCTAAAAAAAAAAAAAAAAAGAAGAGAAAAAAAGTGAGAAAACTCTTGAGAACGGAATGTGGCTTGAAGGGCTTACCTGAGCTGAGTATAATGCAAGAAGTTTCAAGGCTGGCCCTTTCATCTCTGCTATGAAAGAGGCCTCACCATCATTCTTTGCGAATTTGGTCATCACATTGACTGCCACACCGAGATGTATAGGGATGTAGATGTTTAACATGGCCACAATCATGGCAGCCTAGAAAGTCAAAAGAAGAATTCTGAGAACCATATTTCACTCTCACATCAAAATGAAGTACAAGAAAAAACTAATCGATCGTTAAAATTTCAGACGGTAAACAATCTCTTGAGAGAAACTACCGACTTAATTTCTTTATAATTACTAACTCGCTTACCTAAAATTCAAAGTCAGAAGAGAATAAGAATCCTAGGTGTCGATGGGGGTTTTTTTTTTTTTCCCCCCTCATTTCATGTCTAATCTTAAGTCTGAAGAGGAAAAATAAATTACATCTGAAGTTTCTTTAAGATTGTTACTATGAGAGCAATTCAGTACTCCATCAAAATTTAAAATATCTATCCAAAAATATATGAGAGTCACATCACATTGAGGTGCACCCGGTATTGATAAATAAGTCGGATTGGATTTGAAGCGGCCAAGAAAAATTAAATACCTGCGAATAAAAGCAAACTCACCTGCAAGTCTATCTCACTCCTGTCAGTCGCACTGAGGGTAGGTCGGCACCCAAAACGAAGCTATAAAACATTTAAATGTTGACGTGCCAGTGAGATTGCTTCAATATTTTCATATATTTAAGTATTCTCTTATATTTGGTGGACATTTCCAAAGAAAATGCCGGTATTATTTCCTGCAGAAGGTAAAAAATTATCTATAATTTTAAAACTGGAGTAATGGATACGCATCCTTGAAGATACTTACTGTTACAGCTCCAACTAGGACCCAGATATCGGGGAGAAGAAGATGGAAAAATAGCCTCCAATCAAAGTGAGCATCGTCAGCTGCCTGTTCGACTGTGCTGGGAGGTCGACTTTTGCTTTTGCACAAAGCTTGATTATTGGCTAAGTAAATCTTCACTGTTCCAATGCAAACTACTGAAGAGACACATAGAGGCAAAAGTTTGGGTTTTTTGTAACTCAGTCTTGGTGGTAGGAAGCTTTTGACAATTACTTTGATAGAAGGAGAGGACTTGTTCAGAATTCCTTGACATTGTAGAAAAATCTCTTTTGCACTGTAACAAATAGAAATAATTCATGATTATTAGACCAATTAATTAAATACATTAAGCACTCGTCCAGTTCAAACAGAGTCAACGATAAATTAGTTTGCACAATTTTAGAGCGTGACAGAGGTTTTTATGTCTTCATTTCAGCACTGAAAATTAAAATACGAAAATCAAGAAACAGATAATGATTTATCGCTTCACTCTGGAAGTGTGTCAATGTATCTTGCCTAGGCTTCAATTAGAGGTTGACTTTTTTTCGGAAAGAATAAGTCTGCACTGCTTGCGACAATAAGTAGGTATATCGATGGCCGAAGTGTGAAATCACGTATCTCCGCATATTGCAACGTTGCAGAATTTCTGTCCAATTTTATTTTTCCTCTGGCAAACTAGTCCAAGTATAATTTCTTGAAAACTTCCTTGGATTTTTTTTTCTCAAACTATGAAGTTTGCTTGTTCCTCTTCGAGAAAATATTATAGGAGCGGAAACTTTGAAACACTGCGATGGAGATACGTGGTTTCACACTTCGGCCATCGATTTGCAAGTTCCCTACAACGGCAGGATGATTCTTCCAGAACGCATTTTAAACAAGCAGTTGCTCTTTCCTGCTTTGGGTTCTTCATCCGAGAATTTCCACAATTTTCTGACTCCGCATTTTTTCGGACACGCGAGCTGCCGTGGATTGACGAGCGCGGGAATCCGCGAATCAGCAAAAATTCAACCAATCAGGGCTGATCATAACGCGACGTGGCTGGCGTCCCGACGCTCTCCTGATTTTTTTCGTGCGACCAAGACAAAACTCACGCGAACGTGGACAAAGTGCGCCTCTATGAAAGTGCGTTGCTGATCCGGCTCAAATCACCCTTGTAATTGTCTTTTCTCTAATAATTAGAGGTGAGTAATTAACTTCTTCCTGTGAATTAGTGTCTATTCTACTCTGCTGGTGTATGTAATGATCTTTTTCGGTTTTATTCTTCTGTTTTCGTTTAGTCTTCCGGTTAGTAAATTCCGTTTTCGATTAAATACAAGCGCAGACCCTCTAGGCTGTTCAGTGTTCACGGTAATCAGATATTGTTATTTTAGGCTTTCCCCGGCAATTCCTTAGGTTGGATATATCTCATGAAGAATAAATTCTTTAAAATCCGAGGGGATGAATTTTCTGAAAATTCAAAATTGGGCACAATTCCTCAGAAGAAGCCTAACTGTATTATACATGTTGCCTAATTTCTGCTCCTGTTTCATTCATTAACGAGAAAATTACTCAGAATGTCTTGAGACTTTTTGTGAATTTGCCTTACATAATAAAAAAGGAATAGGTACTCAAATTATTTTAATGTAGAATTTTGCTTCATCTCATTGTAAAAAGAAAAAAATTAAGAAATGTATGTACCTAGCTGGGCTAGGATGGGCCACCAGGCGAGCATAGAGAAAAAAAAGGAGGTGTTTGCATTTCGGGCATCTTGGAATTTTTCATAGAGTATCTATAGCTTTGATGACGTCATTGGGTACAGCGACGTTTTTATCCTGTCGATTTTCTTGGAAATGGTGTAATTTAAGGGAAAAAGTCATTCTATAAAAAGTGCTTGAAATTATATAAAGAGTTGATTTAAGTAAAAAAATCGGACATTATGGTCCGTTTTTACAGCGTCAACATAACCCTCAACGAGCGTCTTGTTTACATTGATGACGTAGGTGGGTACAAATCCTCAAGATGCAAACACCTCCTTTTTTTTCTCTATGCCAGGCGAGGAATGAACTAAATCACAACAATTAAACCATACTTCCTACAAGGAAAAAGAATCACACATCAGTCGAAAATTAACCCGTAAACACGTTACGAGTGTTCATGGTTAACATTGGTTACATGACGAAAATACAAATGACGTCATTCGTATAACGTAACTTGCGGTTGATGTATTAAAAATATTTGTCAATATCTCTTTCAAAAAATTATTTCTCAACTTTCCAACTGTGTCAATGGTTTTTAATGGAAAATTTTGGGCAGAAACCATATGGCGTGTCGTCTAGTTCAAACCTTGTTTAGTGACCCATTCTGAGAAATGCCATCCAATTCTGAAATGTGATGGTCCACAGGAAGAAAGGACCAAAAAACCTCGAAAATAAGTTAAAATAGATTCCTGAGCATAGAGGATTGTTCGAAGAAAATTTTGGGGAAAAAATGCTTAGAAATATCCAATCATACTGGAGAGAGTTGGCAGGTTGAAGTTGGCAGTTCAAAAATTGTAATTTGGAGCAAAAATTGATTAGAACTCTAATCTGCAATTCTAATCCTTGCAATTGAGTGAGATTTTCTTAGAATGAGAAAAAAAAAATCACAAAAAATTTCAATAAATACTGTTGGTTGGTTTTCCTTTAAAAAAAGAAAACATGAGTAGAGACTTATAACATTGCAATCTCAGGTATATATTTTTCAACTCTGTACAGTTGCGGTACTGTTTAAGGGAGTGTGCTAAGAACGCTCAGGCACAAAATACAAAAATGCCCTAACACCTCAATGAATAGTAGATGTTGTGCCACGGAAGGAATTGCTTGTTCAGGTGCTGCCCCCTCCCTCCCCTGTGATTGTAAGTTCAGCTCAATACAAGTGGTCCGCTATAAAAGGACAAATCTGCCCTTGGCCCCACCCCCCGTGGACCGCAAAAATATAGCAACACTTATGAATTTTGATCGCAGCTTCACTTTATAAGTAGTTACAAAATAAGTTACTATGGCTGGTCTGAGCCAAAGATCAGTATGCTGTTGAAAGGAGTATTAAAGGTGATTTGTCAAGCTCAATTGACGCGGTCGAACTGGCATGCGATATATCACATCGATTAGGTCAAAACTCTCGGCAGATTTTGAAATTTTAGCAAAAACAAGGACGATAGCCCCTGCGCATGAGCATAAAGAATCATTCTAAACCCAAAAATATGCAAATTTCAGAGAAATGAAAGCAGAATAGTGTTTGGGATAAAACCTCGCATTCGATTCAGCTATCGATTTCTGTATCGAATGCGAGGTTGTTTTCCAAACACTATTCTGCTTTCATTTCTCTGCAATTTGCACATTTTTGGGTTTAGAATGATTCTTTAGGCTCTTGCGCAGGGGCAATCGTCCTTTGTTTGGCTAAAAATTCAATATCTGCCGAGATTTTTGAACTAATCATTGCGATATATCGCACGCCAGTTCGACCACGTCACTTGAGCTTGATAAATTACCTTAAATGGTAAAAGTTCTTTTGCTATACTGCTAGGTGAAAAATCTGTACAAGGCACAGTTTGCACATAGTTGGAGATAGAAAAATTTAGAGCTGGAGAAAAGAGACTATGGACAGAAGTCATATTACTTACCGTGTTCACAAATTGATATACAAACACTTTCTTTTCAGATGAGAAAACTGTTTGAACATTAACTTGAGATTTAAGCCAAAGATATTGCTACATAAAAAAAAACATTTTGTTAAATGTTTATCGCTCAACCTACAGACGATCTTTTTCCTGTCAGGAGTAAGTTTGGTCCACGCCAATTTGGTTTACACACTTTAGGTCTGCGACAGAAGATCCACTCTCTTGCATTTACTTTTTATGTTAAAATAATGTAGGAAGATCTTCTATCACAGTCTAAGTGCGTGAACTTATTGGGCGTGAACTTAAAACAAGGAGTTTAGTTTTTTTTTTCATTTCGGGAAATCTTGATGAAATCCTGACTTTCCCTGATTTTTGACTGCCAAATCCTGATTTCATAATTTATCCAAATCCTGACTTCACGCAGTCGAATGTAAGTAACTTTACAAAAATAGCTTGATAAAAAGATCCGATCGAACGGCCGACTTTTCTCGAATCCTGATTTTGCGACCGATTTTACCTCAAATCCTCATAGAATTGGGAAAATCCTGATGCTAGACACCCTGTAAAAGATACACAAGTATATTCTGAAACACTGCACCTGAAAAGTGCCCTTTAACCAATGACTCCTCAATCATAGCTGCAGCCGGATTGTTGAAATTTAAGTCGGCACGACAAGAATCGAAAATCGATATATTACACGGCGCAGATAGAGCTATGTCTTGTCTTATCGTGCCAACATAGCTAGTTAAAGTTTCAACAATCCGGCTGCAGGCATGGAACACACAGCAGTTAGGTCAACAGACTCTCGGGTTAATATGGAGGAATCAACTAAATTCTACCTTCTACTTCTGGCGCAATTTCTCTGTCTCACTTGGAAAGCTTAACTTATAAGATGTACCTGTACTTTGAACGATGTTCTCCCTCCTACTGGTAACCTGGTTGTCTTTGCCAAAGGTCGGTGCGTAGCAAGATGTTTTTTGGAATTTCCCGATCTGGCGACGGATTCCCCCGATTTGCTATTTCACTCCAGACGTTTCCCGTATTTGCATTAGCGTTACCCATTAGCATAGGTCCTCCTTGATCTGCATGAGACCAATGTAATCGGATTGGGGGAACGGCAGAGTGGGACAAGCAAATTGGGAGAATCTGTAGGCAACGCAGACAGCCTTCACCCTCGATTTGCAGAGATTATCATCCTCAACTTTCCTAGTGGACTGACCTGGGTCTATCGGCCATGGTATTTGCCTCTAGAATAACCAGCTGAACCTTATCAATTTTGACACGAGTGAATTTAAGTGCAATGAACCCTCTCTTCTCACTTTCTGGTCATTTACTAGGTTCTTTGAAAACTTCTACACTCCTATCAAGTGTTCTTGAGAGCTTACCTTATTGGGTGTCTTGTTATTAAAGCAGGAAGCCGCCACAACATTTTAATGGGAGAATCATTCAATTCTTACTAAGCTGAGAACTTGGACTAGGATTGTTTGAGCATGATGATGACTAGAGAGGGAAGATTTCTTAGACGCCTGATGATTCGATTCTCAGCAGGATGAATGATTACACGACACTGAAGAGGAACTGCAACTGCATCGTAATCTTTAAAGCACTGTAACTTTGTATGTCTAACTGGTGGTTGTAAATTAATATGGGGTCTAAACCTCACTTCGTGAGTTGGAGAGGTGAGAAGTTATGGTTTTGTGTTTTTGACGAACCTAACCTCACTTCGCTAACAGTCAAAATCAAAACAAACTTGTTTCCGCCTCTTTTACAGGAAATGAACATTGGCGCCAAACGGAAACGGAAACGCCGAGTGTGTGTGTAGCCGGAAATCGGCATTGGCGCCAAGCGGAAACGGAAACGCAAAGTGTGAATGGAGCCGGAAAATGCTATATTCGAGTCATTTATGAGGAAACTTCCGTAAAGGTAAGCTAAATACTTGACTTTCCGTGTGATCTTATCCTTTTCCATCTCTAAGTGTTGTGTGTTTCAGAATCAATACGTATTTCAAAACAAAACTATTCTAGGCGAAAGATGAAACTAAAATAAAACATTCGTTTATCCCGACTGTGAAATTCCAACGTTTTAACAAATTTCAATTGTTATTTGTTCAAGATAAGTATTATTCTTTAAAAGGGGACGCTTCTGTAAAAAAGATGAAAAATGATCGTCGCGCATTAATACGGAAGTAAGAGTTACATTATTTTATACTTTAAGTAGGTGAGCATTGACTCTTGTCCTCTTTTTGTCGTGCCTTACGGCTGTATTCCGCCTTACGAAAAATGAAATATTATTTATACGACCGGTTTACGTTATAATCGGTCCCGACAGATGTTAGCTTGTACGTCTCATAGGTAACCTATTTGCCTTAATTTGTTCATTGTTGGATATTTTTTCGGTCTCACCCCCTAAACTTTGGCCCATTTTATTGAAAAAATACACAAGGTATGTCTGGTTTTCAGTTACAGCGGATTACGTAGGTTTTCATGCATTTACCTTTGGCCGTGGGTGGATACCTAGGTACCTATGCTCATATGAGGATTCAGATAAATCTCTTAACTTGAAAAACTCCTTATTTTTTTCTTCTGATTTTTTAAAAAAAGGGAAGTGAACAAAAAATTCGTGCGTTTCATGGCAGAAGATACGGGTTTGATACAATGTCGCAAACTGAATTGTGTGCTCATGTAGTTTTCTGAGAATATCTATACCATCAGTTTTTTTATGCACATAGGTAGATAGATGAGCCAAAAATAGTAGTTCCATTTTAAGAAAGAAATGCGATACAAATGTCCGCATTAATTTTGAAACGTATCAACGATCACTGGAAAAAAAGTCGCTCGGATCTAGAGTCCAGACTTTTAAAAACATTGACAAGAAAAAATACTCTTGATTCAATCGGATTTTCGCTTGAATCAATAGGAAATCCGCTTAAATCAAGTGGCTTGGCTCTTCGATTCGAGGAAAAATCCGATTGAATGAAGAGTATTTTTTCTTGTCAATGTTATTAAAAGTCTGAACTCTATATAGCTCCAAGCGACTTTTTCTTCCAGTGTGTCATACTGCTGCTCTACCGTGGCAACGGAGGAACACCGTAAGAGCATTCGACTGTTGCCAAATTTTCTCTCAGAATATATATATTTTTGGAGGAAATTATGAATATTTATTCTTGAAATTTTCAGACACCCTGAATCAAATTAGGATTTTTATGGTAAAAATTGGAGGAAAAATCTTTAAAAATTTTCCCGAAAACTCATGGTTTGTCAAAGGAAATTTTGCAACGTCTGAAGGCTCATACGACGTTCTTCCTTAGCCTGACAGTGTTGCCTCCGACGGCTGCCCGTAAACGGCAGTGTTTAGACAAAGCCAGTAAGTTTCAGTTTCTTCCAGTGTGAAACTCCCTCATGAGAAAAATTAGTAGACGGATCTAGTCAATGATATGAGAATAAATATTTTAAGTAGGTATGCAAAAAAATGAGGAGCTTGGATGACAAGGCGCATAAGTGCAGTTTTTGCTATTTTAAGAAATATGTGTTTGAAGTTTCGAAATTATATGGATCTTTATGGCGGAAAGAAAGTTCAAACTGACCTTTCGATGCTTAAAAATTGGAATTTGGGAGAACTAGTTTTATCATAAATCATTTACATCTCAATTTTTTCAAAAACTGCACTCATGCGCCTTGTCCTCCGAGCCCCTGAAATTATGACCAACTGTTCTTATTACTCAGGGGAAATTTTTTCACAGAGAAAAACTGAAACATCGTGTTCCACATACCGGAATTTCCGCAAAAGTTTGTTTCGTGTTTTCATTTTGCATCATTCGACGCAGAAAAGCAGGGGGAAGGGGGCTCTACTCCGACAGGTCATCGGTCGAATTTCTGTTGTGCGTTGCATTTTGTGCATGCGTTTCACAATAAGTCAGCAAACCATTTCCCGTTAGACGTGCTTGTCACATTGCACAGAAAATAAGTTCATTCCTCCGTAATTTTCATGTTAAGTAATGTGAATTCGCCAAGTCAATAATATAATCTGGCAACCTAGCAGTGCTAACTCTTCGTTTTGAGAGAGGGGCTTTCAGCGGCCAATTAAAAACGATTTCAGAGAAGGTCTGCACTGATCAAGTGTGTTCATACGTTACGTCTACATTGCCACGTACGTTCAGCCATTTGCAACAGGAAAATGAAAGTTACTGATTATTCTGCCACTTTCCAGGAGGTTCACGGTTTTTATTTGCTTTAAATTGATTTCATTTTCATCCCTTTTCCAGATTTTAAAGTACAGTGCTATGATTTACTTTCACGGAAAAAATGTTCCTCATTCTGAATCTATGCTTTTGTTCGCTGATTTAAAACTCGAGTGATATGACTGGGGATCCTCATTACTTCTTTGGACTGGATATTTCAAAAATGGGTATGTAGTTTATACACTGATCGAATTTTAAACCAAAGTTTTTTTCTCGAACGCTTTTTTTGACTAACCAGAATGTTTTTTGAAAGTAGAAATAACGCAATTAAGTTGTACCTGCGATGAGTTCATTTGAATTTTCGTCAAAACAGCTGTTGGTATCAGGGTAGAGTTTTTTCATTTTCAATTTTTTATTGGCGACAATAACTGAGAATCGTCGTTTTCCCGAAAGAACGTAACTGCATTTCATCGTTGCAAAATTCCCTCTTGCAAATTTTATTTGTATTGGACAACGGCTGGGCGGGTTTTATTACTGATTTGCCTCTGACTACACGCATAAATAAGCCAAATTTTGGACAATAATTCCACGGTCATATTTTCGTAAAGATAAAAACTAAATTGTTTGAGTCAGTTTTGCAACTTCTGAAATGAAGTTACGTTATTTTGCCTGTAAAATGACGGATTTTGAGAAAGAGAATACGCACACGAACAGCAAGGAAAAGTAAATACTGATAATGTGGCTTAAATACTGCTAACTATAATGTTCCATATGGATAGCTAATCAGGGAAAAGGACACTTGAACATTCCATGTTGCTGGGATTGCGCGGTTTTTGGTCGGTCTCTGTGTCAAGCAATTATACGTTTTCTCCCACAAGAATCATTTTCAATGAAATGTTACTTTCTTCTTTTGATTCGTCTTTTCAAATTGTCATAGATGAATATTTGGATACATTTCTAACCTTAAAATTGTCGATATAAAATATACCTTATATGTATATACCTCAATTTATTTCAATAAAAACATTACTTAATTTTTAAAACGTGGCAAACCTTTTCCAAAGGATGGTGTCGATATTAATATCAACGAGCCGTAGTGGTGTTAAAAGAAACCAAACAAAAATGAATAAGAGAGGAGAAAACCAAGAAACATGCAATCTTCAGTTTTAACGCATTTGTAAGTTTATCTTTTAGAGTCAAATACGTTCAATATTGAGCGGTTGGTTGCGCGTACACCACGCTGCACCACTTAAAAGCACATAATATATTAGAAAAATTAAAGTGTTTTGGAAATCATTGAATTTGACACAGAGCTACCTTCGTATTGACAAAACATACATTATATTTTCCTTTAATTTTTTTTTCATCAACTTATATGAGAATAGCCTATGCAGAGTGTGCAAACATTTCAAAATCATGAGCTGAAAAACGCTGGTTCCGCGAGTTTAAATGTTAGAGCCCAACACAGAGCGAGCAGCTTGCTGCCGGCGGCGCGATACGCGCACTGGCGCCTACAAACCTAACAGCATACCTCACGCATTGCGTAATGATTGAAGTATCCACTTAGGTTTGTAGGGGCCAGTGCGCGATTTGCGCTGGCCGACCGCTGGCCGCGCAATTCCAGTTGAGAATGGGCATGTGATTGGCCCGAAACGTCCTGGTTGTTTTATGTCTCCTCTAGCCTTGTATACCCATTTGTTTTTTGTATTTATATCTATTTTTATTGTTCATTGAGAGTAGAGCAATGAATCATTAGAAAGCGTTATAATAAGTAACCCTTTGAATATCAATGCGAAAAAAATTCGAGTGATTATCATTACTACTAAAAATATGACCCAAAAATGTGTTGTCTGTTACGGCGACAAAACTATTCCAGTTATCGTGAAACCACCCAAAAACTCTCTACACCTCGTTGGTGCAACAGGACTTAATTATCTTTCAAGAAAATCCCATCTTGTAACTGGTTATACCTGAACCGGATAAACCTTTTGATTTGCCTCAGCTGAAGGCTCTTAGATTTTTCCTGTGTACGATAACTTCTTCGACGGCGCGGCGCTTCGAGCTACTATTTGGACGGAGGTGTTGCACAGTATCATACAAGATTGAAGGCACCCCCAATGTATCATGATTGATGGCATCTTTCAAATGCATGAAGTTCCCTCGCAAATTAAATCGAGTAATGGCGACAAAAAGAGAACGGTGCCTAGTCAAAAAACTTACTAAGTCCTAGTACCTGTATTCAATAACGTTTTTCATGCTTTTTGAACTTCATTAGAGGAAAAAGTGACTTGTTCAAACAGAAATATGCGAAACGGAGAGCCCCCCCCCCCCTTCGGTGTCGTCAGGTAAACGCCAAGACTTGAATGCTTCACGATTTCTTCATTCTTACCTTCACCGTTCTGCCTTGATTCTCATAATACTTTTCCTTTCTAAATTTTTCCTCTTGTTTATTTGTGACTTCAAAAATTAAAATGTAAAAATCAACGTAGTCATTCAGGTTTTTATTCGAAGAATCAAAATTCCCAGAAAATTTCAATATGCTCAACTTCACCGCCGAGAAGATTTCTTTATGAATCAACAAAGATAAAGTAATGCTTGTTTAAAGAGGAAAATATGCCTGTAAAAAAAGAAAATTCATCAAGCAGAAACCCGCTTTCATTCAGCTATTTTATTCTTGATTCAAAATAAAACCTTCTTGACAGTATATTCAAGAATGTTTCTAGTACCTAAATCGAGTCCTTTTTTTTTAATGAAATTCAAAAATTATGCTAAACGTTATTAAATACAAATGCTGGGACTTAGTGAGTTTTTGGCCTACTACTCTCTTTTTGTGCCGTAGTATCTTTATTTATTTTGCGAGGAAAGCTCCGTACTCTTCAAGGATGCCTGCAGTTCTTAATATCGACGGTGAAACTACCAAACCACGTATCTCGGTTTGCGGCGTTGCAGATTTCCTGTCATACATCATTTTTTAAATGAAAAACTACTCAACATCAATGCTTGAAAACTTCCATAATTTTTCTTCTCTTTGCGAAGAAAACTCTGCGAAAACTTCAAGGTATAAAATAGATTTGTTTTCCGTCGAAAAAATAAAATGGGAGCAGAGATTTTGAAACACCGCAAACGAGATACGTGGTCTAGTAGTTCCATCGTCGATATGTTGGATCGCCATCAATTTCGTATGATACTGTGCAACGCCTTTGTTGTGAGTAGTTGCTTGAGGCCCCGTGGCACGCTTCGACGCGGCGAGCGACAGGCCAGCGCATTGGCCCCTACAAACCTAAGTGGATACTTCAATAATTACGCAATGCGTGAGGTATGCTGTTAGGTTTGTAGGCGCCAGTGCGCGTATCGCGCCGCCGGCAGCAAGCTGCTCGCTCTGTGTTGGGCTGTAACATTTAAACTCGCGGAGTCAGCATTTTTAAGCTCATGATTTTGAAATGTTTGCACACTCTGCATAGGCTATTCTCATATAAGTTCATGAAAAAAAAATTAAAGGAAAATATAGTGTGTGTTTTATTTATATTAAGGTAGTTCTGTGTCAGATTTAATGATTTCCAAAGCAGGCATTTTTCTAATATATTATGTGCTTTTAAGTGGTGCAGCGTGGTGTACGCGCAACCAACCGCTCAATATTGAACGTATTTGACTCTGAAAGATAAACGTACAAATGGGTTGAAACCAAAAATTGCGTGTTTCTTGGTTTTTTCCTCTTTTATTCATACTTGTTTAGTTTCTTTTAACACCACTACGGCCCATTGATATTAATACGATACTATCCTTTGGAAAAGGTTTGCCACGTTTTAAAAATGAAGTAATGTTTTCGTTGAAAAAAATTGAGGTATATTTACGGTATATTTTATATCAAAAATTTTAAGGTTAGAAATACATTCAAATATTCATCTAGGACAATTTGAAAAGATGAATCAGTAACATTTCATTGAAAAATGAGTTACCATAACAATACCTCCTTCTCTCTCAATTTTCTCATTTCGATATTGTCAATATAATTTTACATACGGACCAAAATATAACGCTTGGACCAAATCACCATTGCTTATTTTACGCGTAGACGTTAACTACCGGACAAAACAGGTGCGTGGACAAGAATCGTTGACGGAATGTCCTGAAACCGCGCTTTATAATCTTCGGTGCATTGACTTTTAATTCACGGAGCTGACATTTTTTAAAAAGTATTCATATCGATAGCAATGAAGGCAGAGAGCTCAGTTGAGAATTCTTGAGATCCGGAAAAAAGGCGCCAAGTCAAATCTTTTAAGTACTATAAGCGTCTCGTCTGGCGCCTTCAATTTTCCGGATATACTCAACGAGCTCTTAGGAGTTCGAATAGTTGCGTGGCGCGTCACGTCAACCTGGATTGGAAAATATGCTCTGGAGTGATCTGAAAAGTGAAAAGTGTGTTAAGCTGAACGAATGATACTACTTCGACGATGAAACTCCGAAACCACGTATCTTGATTCGGAACGTCGCAGATTTCTTGTTATTTATATTTTTTTTGTTTTTACATGAAGTACTCATACTTAACGTCACTTCTTAAAAACTTCTGTGATTTATCTTCTCTATACAAAGCAAATGCTAAGCAAACTTCGAGAAATGATGCTCTTTTGTTCTTTTAAAGAGAATAAAATGAGAGCAGAGATTCTCAAAACCCGCAACCGACATGCATGGCTTCGGAGTTTCACCGTCGACTTACCATCCTCCGTACATTGACCTTTGATGTATGAGGCAGCAATTCTGAAAAAAGTACTTCTACTTGGTAGAATCACATGAGAAAAATTACCCTGGTAACAGAGTTCAAGTTTTCTTTTTTAAGAAAAATATTGAAGAAAAGGAAACGACATATTTGTTTTTAAAAAAATTGTATTATATAACAGATGTGCAACGATTATAAAATGAAAATAGGATTATTTTAGTAAAAAGTTCCCTTGTTTATCATCTCGTTACAGTGGCGTGGCGTGCTTTGCGATAGATCGATTGTTATGCCATTTAAACCTATGGAAAAGGATTGATAAACAGGGTGTTCGCAGCGAACACCTTAATAATCGATTCTTTACCATAGGTTTAAATGGCATAACAATCGACTTATCGAAATTCACGCGACGCCTTTGCTCGTTATATGGACGGATTTAATTAATTACATGCATTCATGTTTCAGAGATGATTGGGCAGATCAAAAAGAGAGAAAATAAGAAGAAAAGAATGAAGAAGAAATGTATCCGGCTGGGACTATTCTGGAGATGATTCTTGACCTACAACTTGGGAATTCCCGGGTTTAGCTACAAATATTAGTTGATCTGATTTTGCCGTGCTAAACTTGCGCAGCCGGATGAGGTGGAAACCAATTTGAAAGGTTAGTACTCTAGAACGAACGAATGGGCAGAACATACCCATGAAATTATTGGGGTTTACACCATTCAAGGATTTTCGTTCATGAATATGAGAACGTTAAAAACTCGATTGTATTTACATTAGTCCGACTCGGAAGACGAAACATACAGCAATACTGCCGTGCTAAGGAAAAACGCCGTATGAACATTCGAGAGTTGCCAAATTTCTCTTGGTGAAACATGTATTTTTGACGGCATTCGTACAAATTTTTCCTTGAAATTTTCGGGTATTTTAGATTAAATCGCGTACAAAATTGTCGGAAAATTTTGGAAAATAATACTAAACATTTTCCTAATAACTTCGGTTTTTATCGGAGGAAACTTGACAACGTCTAAAGGCTCATACGGCGTTCTTCCTTAGCACGGCAGTATTAGCGTGCTCGACTCGGGTTGGTCGGCGGCGCGCATGCGCATTTCGCATTTTGCAGCGGACATCAGCGTTTTCCATGGAGTCAGTGCTCCTCCTGACGTTGCCAATTTCCCACTCTAATGATGGAATCGTCTGGGAAAATTGTGCGTCTCCTAACAGAATTTTGGGAGGTTGGCCATAGAGATGGAAAACCACGTGTGCGGTAGAGACGTTATGTATATAAGTTTTACTTTACTGTATAAGTGACTCTCCAGGTACGCTGGAGCTGGATGCCGAACTCTAAGGTGCCGGTAAGTCAGAGCGAACGAGAGGAATCCCTGGAACCGACGCGACGTTGCTTCTTTTACAAAGACGAGCACTCGGCTCCTCTCAATTCTAATGACGTCAAACGAGGTTCCCGGACTTTTCGGCGCAGAACTTTTCGGCGCGGGTGCTTCGGCGCAGAACTTTTCGGCGCAGGTGTTTCGGCACGGGGGGTTTTCGGCGCAGGACTTTTCGACGTATTTCAGCAGGCAGTAAATCTCGCACCTCTGAACTCGTCGCACTGATCACTTGTCTTAATAGTTTTGTGAAAGGTGTTTTGTCTTTATTTTTTAGTGACAAGGGCTCTTTACTAAGGACTCAGCTAATTTTAGCAATTTTTACGAAGTTATCAATTCTTTAATGCCAAGGGATAAATACGTTTTTTTTACACTTCCATGGCCTTCCATCCCGTTAAGTCCAGCTAGTGGGCCGAGCTGGTGAAGTTTCATTCCTACTCCTACCCCTCACATTCCTCTCCTTTGTCTTCGTGTTGTTTGGACACGTATCTGGCAAAATGGGGCTAAGAACTTCCAAGACTTGACTATCTTAAAACACGTATGTAGCAAATTCTTGGAATTTTTTGTCAACCACACCCAAAACTTCTAATTTCTCTGTCTTCGTCTCCGGAATATTCTAACAGGAAACCGTTCTGGAAAATAAGGTAAACAGTCCCTTCTTGTATTCTAAAAAGAATAGAACGTGCGCCGAACAGTCCTGCGCCGAGAAGTCCGAACACCGTCAAACGAGGTGTACGACCAACGTGTACTATCAACCATCAGCCATTCTGCTGATAAGCCACATCTCGGTTTAAATTACTGACAATAAACGTGTCAGCATCCCCCTCTTTACAGCAGTCACCCCGACTGCTCCAAGACCCTGAAAAAATAAAACAAATAAAAACAAGTATACACCTCGGATTGAGGTTTTTTTTTCTGTACATCTTTACTTTTCACGGCACTTTAAGGACATAGTAACAGGCCCATAACCTATCAGAAAGGGTTGTTCGGGGAGCTGTCATGTTACTGGGTGCGGATCATGCTCTATATGGGAGATAAGGGACGATAAGGTACAACTCCGTATCTATAGGTACATAGATATATGTATTGAGCTACTCACATGCTAACAGAATACTCTATAGAGAGAGAGATGCTATAAAGGCTTCGACGTTGGTAGGGGGAAGGGCTATGCGAGATACTCGCATAGAGAATAACCTGGCGAGACGCTCAGCTAGGTTAAGGGGGGGAATCCCCCGAGATGCTCGCAGAATATGTCTGATATGAAGAAGTGATAGCCAGTCAACTTCTCTATCAGAACCCGCTCTAGCATGGATGCTGCTGTCTTTATATATAGCGCTTTGAGACGCACGACCGCCTAAGATGAAGCAAGAATGTAAACACACTCTTGCGTCACCTTAGTCGATCGGTCATCGACACATCTCTATGACTCGCCAACACACCATGACAGAGCGAACACAAAAGGATAGTCAAAAGGATATGCGACACATAATTGTATTAAGTTTCTGCGTTACAGTATGGAAAAATGAAATCTACGAGGCGGACGGTTACATGTGTGACGGCGGGTCTGATCACCCACGACCTCGTTGAGATCGCAACCGAACAGACACGTCCTCCACTCTAACTATCCGAACTAGTCGTCGCCGTTGGCACTGATCGGGGAACGAATAGTTAGCAGGAGTGTCGAATGGGAATAGGGAAAATCAGTGGAAGACCTGGATTTGGATTCAAACACAAAAAAAATTCATAAAAACCTACCGCTAAATAAACTATGTTTATCGTCTTAAATTAGTTAGAAAAAATTTTCAACAACCCAAGGAGCAGAAGACAACTTCTTACGTAAACAGATTCAAAATTTCGGTATCACAAAGAAAATTCAAATATCATGTAAATATTCAATGCTTAAAGACATGCTAAAATGCTCTATGCTTATAATTACAATGGATATCAATGGGCAATAATGAGGAATGATTTCCATGGAAATCAATGAGCAATAACGAGAATTAATGAGTAATAACGGGAATCAATGAGCAATAATGGGAAGCAATGAGTAATAACGAGGATAAATGAGCGATAATTGGAATCAATGAGCCATAACGAGAATCGATGGGACGGATTTGGATTCAAACCCCTTCTACTCAAATCAGCTAGCCCTGCGAATAATAATGAAAATTGTGGTGGTCTCTCCTCGTCGGCTGGTCCTTTCAAGACTGACCAGCCGTCTCGTCACTTTTTTTATAACTTACACTTTATTCTTTGACTAGCTGCTCTAACAGGGGCTGGACCGGGTTGTCTCGGGTCTTTACACCTCACACCGACTAACCCCGTACGAGCGGCTTCCGCGAGCTTTTATGCCAACGCTCGAAGCTTCCTTGCCAAACTCCGACTTCCGAATCGCCGGAAGCTGGGGTCACTCTTGCCGCAAGCTCCGCGCGTGGACCTAAACAATCGCGTCTCGAAAACTCGCATCTCACACGCCTGACCCTGCCACTGGCATGGGAATCCACGATTTCTCAAGACTTGCAATGTCCCCAAACCAGCTTCCTCCAAGTGGATTCCACCACAATATCGGGTCCAATCATCCGGCCCCGGAAAGCTCGCCCCGTGCCGCTAAAAAAAACCTCTAGTTACATAATAAAAAAATTAACAAGAAGAAATAAAATTTTTAAAATTACTTAACACAAATTTCCCTTTTCGCCTAAAAAATATGGTTTCGGTAGCTCGGACGATCCATTTTTGTTGACATACAACACGAAAAAGGTTGGTGTAACCGATGAGCTCATATATTGTAATGGGGGGGATAAAATAATCTAACTCACGTAACTCAAATGGTAGAGTGGGCAGTATATTCGGAGAATACAAGAGCGCTATCACTAGATCGCTGCCTCGAAGATACGACCCCGCGCCGCGGGCCCCTCAGAGTATATATCTCGGTAGTTACCGGAAGAGCGGTGACGTCGGAAGATGCATCGCGATACCCGAAAGTTCCAAGGTAGATACTCTGAGGTCGCCGAAATGCGGCGCGCGAGCTTGCGCTCCGAAAGCATGGCCCTCGTCCCAAGGTATCGGACGCATCGAGGAAAGTGCGGACATAACTGCCATAGGCGATATGGCACGCCTTACCATGACAATATTATACTTGATGATTTTGATCTCATATCCAAACTTCATCCATTTGCTCTCATCAGTGTGCCTAACTTGGGTCTTGTTAAAGACGGCCTCGCCTCGGATTTTTAAATGGACGACCACAGTAAGTTATGAACAATTGCAGGGGACTCTGAAAAATCACTTAAGTCTGGTGACAATCGGATCTCATAAAACAGGTACCAAACCGGACAACAGGAAGAATCCCGAACCGTTCGCCACTGTTTATACGTTGCCCACTGAAACTTTTTAGGATTCAGCGGCCCCCCACTTAAAATTCGGAAAAGAGCGTGCGCGAACAGAGCTTTATCGCTAGCTCATCTTAACATATCCGAGGCAAGCCAGAACGAATTTTCCACGATCAGTTGTGCTAAAAAGGCCACCCCACCCCTCATAAGGATATACCCATAAATTTTTTCTCGTCCCGCTTCATATCTTAATTTTAGTGACCACCTGCGTTTCATCAATTTTATGGGTTAGTTAGCTCAAATTCCACAAGACCTAACAGGTAAAATTTCGCCGTTTTATTCCTTTATTTTACTCGGCGATTTTGATTGCAATCGCATAGTAACTAAGCTCGTGGATTTTCTTCATGACCCCGTACTTGATTTTGATTGCAATCGCATAGTGCGCTGCGCTCATGGATTTTCTTCGTGACTCCACGCTTGATTTTGATAGCAATCGCATAATACACCAAGCGCATGGATTTTCTTCATGACTCCGTACTTGATTTTGATCGCAATCGCATAGTACACTATGTCAGTAGGAGAGGGATAAGAGACGGTAACTCCATGAGATGCTGTAACCGAGTCCAGTTTATTTGGAAACGAAAACAAGCAAGAGTCGAGCTCATGCATATGGCATTGACAAGTATAAACATAAACAAGGAAAACATTACAAGCAGTGTTCAACACACTAAGCTCTTAGATTTTCTTCATGACCCTGTACTTGCGTACTGTACTTGATCGCAATGACATAGTATACTAAGCTGGTGGAATTTCTTCATGACCTCATATTGTTGTGATATGGGTCATGCGTCATGGGTCATATAGGAGATCACAAAAAACCAGATACATGAATATACATACATGAGGAGACGTAGACACTAAACACTATATTGTAATGGGTCCGCTGTTCTGACGCTTCTCTCGTTGCCAAAGGGGGGGGGGGCGCAACTCAAATGGGAGGGCTAGGGGAGAGAACTTGGGGTGATTCTGATCGACACTTTTATTCACAGATCACACTTATACACAGATCAAACGCTATCGGTACAAAGACTCCGCTTTTCCGCCCGTCCAAACTTTTATAGCCTCGGGTCCATGCCCAGCATCCGACACACTTCTCACCTAGTTTTCCCAAACAAATTGCCCAATTGCGACTCCGAGGCTCGCAACAAATCATCAACACCACCAGCAACTCCAAACAAATGGTCTTCCGCGCACATTGAAGTGTGGGGGGATACTAAAACTAAGGAACTAAAACAACTAGACCACTTTCGGTGTGGAAACCTCTATTTTTACAAACAACACTATACCAATGAAAACCCGATTTGCGCGGGAACGCTCTCGCTGCTCTGACAGGGGCTGACCGGGCCAACTTTGGCCCGCAGTCTGAGGACTCAAGACTGACCCCGAGCCAAAGCTTCCATGCTTCTTTTAAGCAGCGCGCGAAAGCTCCGCTTTTCCGCGACCGCGGTTCGTCCCGGAACTTTCGGACGCGGCTCAAAACAAACACGTCTCAAAATGACCTCGCCGTCTGAAACGCTTGACCCACCTTGCTCGTGAAAACTCCGTGATAACGCACGAACAAGTATATTTCCTCTTAGTGGAACGGTAAAACCCCAAGGTTTTAGCCGTACCACTACAACATTTCCAGCCTCTCTCACGCTCGGAGACCATAGCCCGCCGGCCCGGAAAATGCGCGCAGGGTGAAGACACAAGAAAGCTCTCCGACGCAGGGAAGGGAGAGCGAACCACGATTTCCCGTAGGCGGCTTGCCCGACGAGAGTCCCGTCAAGCTGAGGGAATCGCCCCACGAATGCACGTAGGGAGAACGGGAACCAACTGATCAATCGAGCTTGAACTGAATCAGTCGGTTGGGCAATCTCTCGATACAGCACGCTGTTGAGCTTTTATACTCCGGAGAGAAAGTCGAGCATTCGAGATCAGAGGCCAAGCCGCGTAGATGCTACTGCAGTCAATGAAACTCGAAAGCTCTAACGTCAATCTCCGAACGTACACAAACCCAACAGTGCACCGTTCTCTCTTCCAATCACATACCTCTCTTGAAAATTTACCAGGAAGATAATTACGGAACTGAAAACAGGTAAACTCATTTAGGAAGGAATGCCTCTCGTATTCATGTATTTAGAAAAGAGTTCTTATTGGATTACATTACTTTATCATCTTTTTGCGTTTACGGCACGGAATACACTCGCGAAGCGAGTGACCAGGGGTCCAGGGGGCGGAACCTCCGGCTAGACGCGAGGCGAGCCACAGCGGCTAGTTATTAATATTATTATTTCTTCAAAAAAATATGTTTTTTTCATATTCAAAAAAATATTACAATAAAATTATTGGAGTTATGGTCGAGGATCGGCAACTAGTGCAACAGGACAGGAAACATCGCGGTCTTGCGGCTCATAGGTTGTGATGGCTGGCGACTGGAGTGCAAGGCGTCGGCTGGCAAACATCGCAAAGTTGGGCAGGTCTCGTGTTGGTGACATCATAAGAACCTTCGGCGAAAGTACTGCGTAGCCCGTAGCGGCTATAGCAGAGGGATAGACGGTCCAAAGGCGATGTACCGGACAACCGGTCGGTCTCTTCCGTAGACTGCTACTCAGCGGCAACGATTCAGGAGCACCGAGGCTGGCATTGCTGGCAGAAGTTCTGGAATCAGCATGTACATCGCCGAGGTAAGTGTGAACCGAAGCCAGGACGGTGGAACTGAACACAGCGCGTGGAACCGTGTCTTTTGATTGCGGAAGTCATGGCCGGACGGGGATGACGGGGTACTATTACAACCGGTGTACATCCACTGCATGCACAGCAAGCAATCACCGGTAGAAGCACGGGTGCTTCGCTAGGATGTTCTTGCTTACGCCAACTTGCCATGGAGAATCGTGCCACCAATTCAAGCCCAAAAGGTGCAAAACTGGAGATGACCCGAAAATGAGCTTGCAATTCTTCGGCCCTGTGCCGGTGTTTCACCTCGCATAACATCGAATATCTATAAACTAAAAAATATACATAAGAATAATACACAATCAAAACATATAACAGACACAAAAGGGGAAAATAAAAAACGTAGAAAAATAAAATTAATAGAACACAGGAACAACGGCGATTATATGCAAACACAATTTGAGATTCTTCATTTTTCTTTTCTTTTCTTTTTTTTCAAGTAAACTTTACGTATAAAAACACTTAACCTTATGCCTGATTTGCTAAATGACCAAAATACGCGATTGTTTCGTCGCTGAATCATTGTTTTAGACATATGAACCATAGGGGGATCAGCAAAAAACTTGCAATCACTCAACTCCTACTTAAAATGATTAACCAAAGGAGACTTGAATGGAGAAAAAAAATGTCTATGGTAAGAAACCTTTGTTTAACATAAAGCAGATAGTTGTTGCAGAGATACATACTCCTTTCCTTCTGACTCTACGATATTTTCGCTTATACTGACTTTACCAGTTGCTAATTCGATCAAGTATCTAAAGTCGTTAACCATATTTGGTTTTAAAAGAAAAGGACCACGAAGGCAATCGCCTTGAAAATATCTTTACCTATTTTCCTATTGGAAAAAAAAACAAGTTTTATTCTAAAAATTCGGGCATTTTAATATTTCTGCAGAATATTATTATATTCTTTTCTTTAATCATGTATATACACTCAACATATCCCGCTGAAGACACTAAATGTTGCAGACAAAATAATATAATCATTTTAAATTGCAATAATCTGAAATATCGTAGTAACAACGTCAATATTGATTATCTCATCACAAATATAATAATTCCAAGATAGATGTGCATAAGAGAAGTCTTAGACTTTGCAATGTTTGCTAGCTCCTACTAAAAATGATTGGAGCAAGGGATCTAAGTGGGAGTTTCCCCATGTGAAAAAAAACTTCCTTCAATCACAAAAATAGAGAGCTGTTGCAAAAAAATTATAGGTTTAATAATCACAAAAAAATACATATTTCATTTATAGAACGTTGAAGGCAATTAAGGAATATTTTTTTTTAAATTAATAGTTTATGAATTTAATTCTAAATAACTATACAGACCTTACCACAGGTGAACCCTGAAAGGTGAATAACATAGAATGAAGTAACGAAATA